TCTAGCCCAGCCAGATCTCCTCATGACTGCTCTTCATTCCTGATGTGTGGGCGTTCTACCCCGGCCCACCCCCTCCTTCAAAGCTCTGTCCTGGGATGGGGGTGTGGAGAGATGGACAAGTTAGGATGTGAGCTTTACTGGGGAGCAAGTGATTCCCTCTTATTCATCAGGGAATGTTCAGGTGCAGCCTGGCCCCACTGCTCAAGGGATTGGAGACACTAGGGTGTGGGAAAGAACACCAGCAGACCTGGTTCTACTACTGACTTGCCGTGTGACCTTAGGCAAGTCATTTCCCCTCATCTGGGCTTCATTTTCTTCATTCATAAAATTGAAGTGGGGATTAACCAGATGGTCTCAAAAGTCCTCCCTTGTCTCCTTCCTATCTACTCAGTTCCATCAGTCTGGCACCTACAGGGGCCACTATGTCTAACCCCTTTGGCTTCAAGTAGATGATGTCCCAAGCCCTGAACCAGGATCTTAAGGCATTCTAGGAGCTAAAGCTCCCTCCATTACCCAGTTGCACGATTTGGTTTTCCATCATCCCGTCTCTTTCCAATTCCCAAGAGTCGTGGGCTAGGGGCTGTGTTCAGTCCCATGTGGGATTAAAAGAAGTGACTCCTAAGGAGCTCCCCGTGCCAGCCTGAGACAGCTTTGCCCAGATTCAGGTAGCCCCTCACATCCTTTCAGCACTTTAAGCCCTTCCCAGCAACTTTTTTTCTTTCCAAGATCTTATCCAATTTTCAGGGCAGTTGATAGAAGAGATGCCACCTGAAAAGGTGAAGTGACTTTCCCAAAGTAATGTAATCATGGAGTAAGGGTATTCTGCCCCCAACCTTCATCAGCATTGGAGAAAGTGCCCACTTTGCCGCCTGCCCAAATCCCAGTTTCGTTCCCTGTAATTCAATCAAGACAAACAAGATTTAGCAAGTCAGTGTTCAGCCCTGGCTCGAGTCTGACTTCCAGTAAGAAAATCTTGGCTTTGTTGGGTTCTTCCTCTTCCTTTCCTCAGTACCTCCTTGGTCTGGTCTGCTGCTCTACATCTGCGGGGCAGCTTTGTGTGGTGCAAAGTACTAGCCTGGGGATCAGGGCTGGGTTCTAATCCCACTTTGTGGCCTTGGGTCAGGCACTCCCCCCTTTTTCCTTCCTACAAAAGGAATGAGTTGGATGCTGTCCTAAAGGCAGGAGTGGTGGGCCAGAAGTGCAGAAGGATTTATCCCAGAGTAAGATTGAGCTGCCTCAGTAGAAAACAAGTTCTTCATCATGGCAGATCTCTGATCCAGTTGGATTGACCACTCGCCAAGGTGGTTGTAATATGGAGGGGGGTGGGCTTCAGGGGGAGCCTGATAGATCAGATGACCTGTTAGGTCTTTCCCAGCTCTGACTATGACCTAAGAGGCTTTCCGTGAGGTAAGGAATTCCAAGGAACTTGGGCCTCAGTGAGCAGAGGGATGATCATCCCAATGGATGGGAGTGATCTACTGCCACCTTCCCTGATGCTAGAGGCCACCCAGCTCACCCTGGTCTTGCTTTCTGCCCTCCTTGGAGTTTCTCAAGAGATGTCCAGCACTTCCCCTTGAGCCCCTTCCAAGGGCAACTGGAGATGCTCCCCTCCCTGCCCCCCATTTCATCCCAGGCCAGAGACAAAGCAGTCCCTTTCCTAGGCAACAGGACCCTCCTAGCACTCCCAGGCTTAACAACATAGATTGGAGTTACAAAGCTGGAAGCAACTCTCTAGGATTATCTAATCTATGGGATATTCTTAGGAAATGCTGGGGCCTGAGGAGCCCGAAGGCCCTCATCCCAGCTCCCTGCTCCCCAAGCCTTCTGCTCTGAGGCCTTTAATCCAGCCCTGGAGACCGACTTCATTCAGCCCCAGGATTTCAGGGACGATGAGGACAGAAAACAAGGGGACCTTCTCAGCAGGGACCAAGTGGGTATAAATTTAGAACTGGAATGGAAGGGACCCTTGAGATGATCTCTTACAAATGAGGAAAGCAAGGCCCAGAAAGGGGAAAGTCTTGCCGCAGGCCTTTCTGAGTACAAACCTTGTGCTGTCTGCATAGTCACCTACTCTGACCAAGGGAAGGTTCACAGCCCAGCACAGCTCCTAGGACAAGAGTGACCTCTCCAATAGAAAGGGAAGGGGTTGTCTGGGGCTGGAGACAGGACTGCCTCTCACCATCCCCAGCCTCTCTGCCTTTGGGTCCCCTGTTCTCCACGTGCCTATGGTCTAACCAACTATACCAAAGATTTTTCCTATTGACAATCTTAGTACCCTTCTCCAGAGACGGTTCTTAGTTCCCACAGAAGGCTTTAGGGATTGGGGAAAACCCTTTGAGCTGTGTAATTCACTGGGTGCTGGCTGCAAAGTACCCAGTTTCTAGATAGAGGGTGCCAAGTTCCAGGAAGCTTTGGGCATGTGAGGTGCCTGGTGGGCAGAGGAAAAGGAAAAACAGACTTAGGCCTTGCCACCAACCTCCAGACCACAACGGAGAACATCCAGGGAGGTCAAAGAGAGGCCTTAATGGACCCTTTGGCAGGGCCAAGACCCAGAAGAGAATAGAAGTAACTCTTAGTGTCCCAGGGAGGTATGAGATGGGAATCTGTGTGCTCAGGGCATTCCCATTAGTATTGGAGGTGGCTTACAGGTTCAAATCCCTCCCTGCCCTGGCCTGGGAGGGTGAGGTCTAATTGAAACAGTTCAGTGTGCTGGCCAGACAGTGCCCTGGCCCAAAGATAAACTCTGCTACTTAAGAGCTGTATGACCTTTGTCAGGGCTCCTCCCCTCCCTGGGCCTCAGTTTCCCCATTAGTAAAACAGGAGAGGAGGATGATCTGTAAGGGTCTTCTGCTAACTCTAAATCTATGTTCCTTTGGGGGAACCCACCTAGCTTTGAGTGAGGGAGCATAGATAGCTGTCAATTAAAAGAGAGCTGCTTATTTTATAATTGAGGAAACTCAGGTCTGGAGAGGTTGTCCCGGCTGCACAGCTAGTGTTTAAGCCAGGATTCAAACTCTGGGTCATCTGAACTCAAGTACAGTACTGGGCCCACCCACCAAGATTCCTTAACAGCTCAGGGGGCCAGGAGTCAGGCTATTTGCCCTGAGCCTAATCAGAGATCAGGAGTTTCCACATTTATCCTTCCTCTGAGCCATCTCCAGACTAGCTAGCTGGACAGAAGGCAGCCAAGATGGGAGCCCGGCAAAGAATGAGTGGGGGAGGCAGAGGGCAGGCCCTGGGGATGCCGGACGGGCTCTCTCCGACCCCAGGGAAACCCTTTGTCTCGAACTGCCACCTCCCTCAACTCTGTAGTTTGGTTTCGCTCCAATTTCTGAGGGAAGGATTGGCATTTGGAGTCAGCGCTAGCCACCCCCAGGTAGCCTTAGTTCTCTAAAGACCCCAACACCACCAGGGGAATGTGGAGAAATTCTCATCCCTGGAAGCTGGAATCCCAGCTATGTCTGGAGGAGCCTGGGGGCAGGGGCTTCTCCCTCCCCTGGAGGAGTCAGGGGACATCGGTTTTAAATTCCTGCTCTACCACACACTACCTATGTGCCCTCAGGCAAGTCACTTTTGCATCAGTACAATGAGGGGCTTGGACTAACTGGTTTGTGGGGTCCCTTCCAGGTCTGTATCTTCTGACAAGGGAGGTCCAGCCGAAGGAACTGGGGAGAAACGCGGGGCCAGCCCCATTGCAGGAGAAGAGAACTAGGTCCCTCTTTCCCCAGCCCTGGGTGACAGGCTTAAATTTTTTTAAAAAGAAAAAAAAAACCACAAACAACCATCCTCGGTGGGTTCATTTTTGCTGTTCGCCGCTCTGTTGGGTTTTGTCATTTCTGTTTTCTTCAATAAATTATTTTTTAGTCACTCACTCTGGTGTCTGGATGTTGCCTACGTGGGGTAAGGTGAGGAAGAGGTATCCCGTATCCCTGATGGCAGTCAGTTATGGAGAGGAGCCCCAAATGGAAGCGGCCTGAGGGGGGGGACGATTAGGATTGGAAGGACCTCAGTGGGAAAAGGGAGGGCCCTCCTAGAGCCAAGCATCAGACATGACTAGCCGGAAGGCTGGGCGTGAGCTGTACTTGGAAATTTCCCTGGAATAGAATTGGAAGATCTGTGGACTTCAGCGAATTGGGGTACAAATCTGGCCACCAACACTTCATGGCTGGGTAAACCGGAGGAAGTCACTTCAACCATCTGAGCCTGTTACCCCCCTTGTATAATGGGATAATAATGCTCTGGCTTCCCACCTCACAGGACTTTGTAAAGCAGCCAGCATTTCTTATTCAAGCCCCTGCTGGATCACCAAGGGGGCCTGGGTTTGAAGTCTGACTCTGAGGGGTGGCATCAGGGTTGGCCCTGCCTTTGATAGGCCTCCCTCCAGTTCACCTGACTCTTCTAGTGATCTCTCCCATCCCCCCAGGGGACCCCAGAGGTTGGTGGGCTCCCTAGTCCCAGGTCCCAGAAGCCACTCATGTAGCTTCCTGTGGCAGGAGGTGTAGTGTGTAATGATAGACTTAATTCTTCCTTGGTGAATCTCCCCATCCCTTCGTGTACCTCAAGCCCAAAGAACCAGTCACTGGCTGCCTGTTTGCAGCATTTGACTTTAATCTCCACTTTGATGGCTCTCCATCCCTGGTCCCTGAATTTGGGGATACTCAAACACTGGCCAGCTAGGACTTTTCAAGGTAGGTGTGTAACACTAAGGAGGGAGGTGATGAGAAAAGTCCTCAGGGTCCCAAACATCAGCTGAACCTCACGGGGACCTGGGTTGGGGCAAGGAATAGGGCTTTGGTAGGCTGACATATCCATTTCAGTAGACTCTGGCCCTGAGAGGGGGCACACAACATGGCATGGTTTTGGTGTCTGATGACCTGGATTAAAATTCTAGCTCTGACACTAACTAGCTGTGCGGTCATGGGCAAGTCACTGCCCCTTTCTGGGTGTCAGTTTCTCCATATGAAAAATGAAGGAAGTGGACTTGAAGATAACCTCCAAGGTCCTTTCCAGCTCCAAATCCTGTGATCTCATTGGGAAATGAGGGAGAGCTTGGATAGAGGGGTCATCCTGGTGTGGTCAGATGTTAGAATGTCACAGCAGCACAGACTTGGGGCAGGAAGGGACTCCTCAGAGGCCATTTGGTCCAGACTTCTCATTTTACAGATAAGGAAAATGAGACCCAAGGAAGGGAAGTGACTCACTCAAGGTCACTCAAGTCATTTGTGGCCAGGTTGGGACTATAACCCAGACCCTTGGATCGCAAATCCAAGGCTCCTTCCTTATACTATGAGGGAAAAGTACTACAGCAGAAGAACCCCAAATTAGGTCCTAGAAGATCCGGATTCTCCTTGTAGCTTTACCTCCAACTCTGACTCTGCATGTCTGAGCAAAGCTCTTTCTTCTTCCTGAGTCCGTTTCCTCATCTGCATCGCGAGAGGGGGGGATCTGGAGATGCTCAAGGTCCTTTCCAACACTTAACTCTGCCTTAAGGTTGGAGCAGCCCACCAACCCCCTAAAAAGGCAAGGTGAGCAGCATTCCTGGTTCCTCTCTGGCCCTCAGATTCTCTTCTGTCTAGATACGGGTCATGCTAGTCCAACACTGGGTCCCCTAAGGACAAAGGTAAATGGAGCAGCGGGCCCAGCCCTCCCAAGGAGACCACCAGGTGCAAAAGGGAGATGGGGTTTAACCCAGAGGGAAGAGGAAGGATGGAAGGGAAGGACTCCTCCCTGATCTCAGGTCTGAGAGAAGGTAGGAAGTGGAGCTTTGACCAAAGCCAGTCATCTTGGCAGCTTGTGAACTGGCGCTGGAGGCAGGAACTAGTGCAGGGGTGGGGCACAGAAGAGGGCGGGTGGAACTCTGCCTGTCCTCTGAGCATCCAGGAGTTCTTGGTCCCCCCTTCACCTCTACCAGGTCAGAGGCAAGACCTCCTTGCAATTCCCCATCGTGCCAAGAGAGGTCACTGTTGCATTAAGAGCAATAAGGCAGCATTTTTGTGGTGGGGACATCTCCCAAAAACTTTTTTAAAATGGGGGACTCTTAGAATGATCCTAGAGTTGGCAGGTGGAAATATCTCATATAAAACAGGAGGGGAGAGGAGCTGGTGTCAGGGTGATTCTTTGGCCAGTACACTTGTCCTGGGGCGAGGTGGGTCTTCTCCAGCTGGCTGCAGATCCCCGTTGGGGCTGGGACCCTGGATAACCCGGCGGGGCTTCTTCCGAAGGCTGGCCCCCCCAGAAATGAGGTCGGCATAGCCCTCCTTGTGGGAGAAGGCGTAGCTAGAGCGGCGGCGGGTTGAGCCTCTCTGGAAGTGGGCTTTGAGTTCCACGGTGCTGACTTCTACTTTTGTGTCTCGATAAGGAGATTTCTATGCCAGAGGAGAATGAGAAGCTATCAGAGTCTGAGAAACACACAGGAAGAAGGGACCAGGGAATACAAGGGGAGCAGAGGCCAAGAAACTCTTGGGAAGAGAGACAAGGGCACCTACTATGAATGAGAGACCAGAGCATCCATTCCTTGGGACCAGAGGCCACCACTCTCATTTCTGGGAAGACTTTGAAGTCATCCCCCACCTGAGTCCTCCCAGTCTCCCAGGAATGGTGAGAGGTGAAGGTAAGTAAGGTCAGTAGACTAGTAAAGGAGGCCCAGACTGAAGAAGAAGCAGCCAAGTTCTGGTGCTGTCTCTGACACCAATTCTTTATATGGCTCAGTATATTGCTTTCTCTACCTCAGTTTATCTGCCTGCAAAAATAATGTCTTACTGAGCTCATGGACCAAAGAATTAAGTGGCTTAATTAAGAGAACCAAGGCCGAACAACTAATAAGTATCCCAGCCAGGATTAATCGGCATGATTTGGAAGATTCAACTAGATAACGTCTGCAAAAGTGCTTTGAAAAGTTAGAAGTCTTGGGAAGGAGGGGGGAGGGTCTCTTTATTCTTGGGTCCTCAGTTTCCCTCCCATCCCCCACGAAATGGAGATAAAATGCTCTGCTTGCCTTGGAAAACAGAAAGCCCTTCTCCCCCAGAAAGGCCTGTAGATGTAGCAGGACCCTCTTGGGGCAGGGTCTACTAGGTTTAAGGTGACTAACTTACCCCAGGCTTAGGCTCAGCAGTGATGTGGCACAGCAGACGGATGGCCAGCGAGGGCATGGTGTTCAGGACCACAGTCAGCAGCACCACCAGCAAGATGTACGGTTCTGTCAGGGCATTTTGGTTGGCATCTAGGGGATGGAAAAATATGAGCCTAGGTCAGTGGCAAAGACCCAGGTCTGAGTTCCAGGAGGCACATTCTGGCCCTTGGCACTGGGGAAACTTCTCTTAAAGGATGGGAGAAATCAATCTGAGGTCCAAGGTAGGCTCCCATCTCTTCTTTCCCCCATATACTGTCCCAGGAGGAAAAGGCCACCAGGAAGAAAGGGAAGGGAGAAGAGGCAAAAAGGAAGAGTGAGGAAAGAAAGAGCAAGGGGAAGGAGAGAGGGGGAAAGAAGAAATAGAAAAAGAGGGAGACAGAGAAAAATAGTGGGAGAAGAAAGAGAGGGAGAGGAGGAGGAAAAATGAAAGAGGAAGGAAAAAGAAGAGAGGAAGGGAGAGAAAAGAAGAAAGGGAGAGAGGAGATGAAGGAGGGGGAGGTAGATGGAGAAAGGAAAGGGAGACAGACACAGAGAAGAATGAAGGAGGGAGAAAGATAGCCAGAAAGAAACAGAGAGGAAGGAAGGAAGGAAGGAAAGAAAGAGAAAGGGAAGAAAAGACAAAAACAAAGGAGGGGAAAGAGAGAAGAAGAGGGAAGAGACTCCTCTCTTCTCTTTTTTTTCCTTTTTTTTTGGTGAGGCAATTGGGGTTAAGTGACTTGCCCAGGGTCACACAGCTAGTAAGTGTCAAGTGTCTGAGGCTATATTTGAACTCAGGTCCTCCTGACTGCAAGGCTGGAGCTCCATCCATTGTGCCACCTAGTCACCCCAACTCTTCTCTTCTTGATTCTAGTATTGAACCTCTGAGTAACAGGATATAGCAGGATCCAGGAAAGTCCGAGTGCCACTCCCCACCCCGCTCAAGAGCTTATCGAGGGGGTGGAGGAATAACTCTTACATGGAAATCGGAAGATGGTCGGGGCCACTCGGAAAATGAAGAAGTTCTGGGTGAGGAAAGACAGGAAGCTGTAGAGGACCACACTGGAGGAAACAGCCAGGATGGACAGGATGGTCCAGAACTTGATGTCCATGGCAATCTGACCAGAGAAGGAGACGTTAATCCTTTGGGGTCTTGGAATAGCCCTAGGGAGACAATCTGCTGTGGATGAGGCTCGTATGGCAGTCTGGCAGAGACTGACAGGGAGTCTTTGTGAAGGATGAAAAAAAAATGCTTTTAGCCCTCTACATTTCAGCAGGAATGGGAGCCTCCCGCCTGGGGAGGAGTCAGGGGAGGGGCATTATCAACCTGCAGAGGGATCAGAACCCAGAGCCATGGGGAAATGGAAGGAGAAGAGTGGGGAACACTTAGCAATTTAACAGGAACAATTTGTTACCAATCAGAGCTCTCTAACACAGAAAGGGTTGTCTCAATAGAGAGGAAACTCCCTGTTACATGAAAGCGAGTAGGACCTGAACGAACTTGGCCTCCAGTTCAACAAAGTAGAACTTGTTGGTAATGCTATAGAGAAGATACTTGCTCGGGACTAGAGGCTAGACTCCATGAACTTTATGGTCTCCTCCTGCTTCTGACATTCTAGGTTCTAAGGTTCTTCTCAGCTCTAACATTCCAGGTTCTGGGGCCCCTCCCAGCTCTGACATGTTGTAATAAGGTTCTTCCCAGCTCTAATATTCCAGGTTCTGAGGTCCTCCCCAGCTCTGACATTCTGTTCCAAGTTCTAACATTCTAGGTTCTAAGGCCCCTCCCAGCTCTGACATTAGGTTCTAGGCTCTCAGGACTTTCCCAGCTCAGACATTATACATTCTAAGGTTCCCTTCCAGCTCTGAGTTTCTATGTTCTAAGCTCCCATCTAGTTCTGACATCTCATTTTCTATGTTCTAAGGGATGACTGCCCAGTTTCTTTCAAAACCTCAATCTTATGAGATCCCTTCAGTTGTCAAGCCCTGATGAGGCTGCCTTTGTAATGTCTCATATGCCCTGTTTCCCTCCCCCACCCTCCTCTGTAGCCAGCCTAGTCCAGGCTCGCCACAACTTACACTGTTGTACCAGCTCCCTAACTGGTCACTCTGCTTCCATGCTCTCCTTTCTCCAGTCCATCCTTCACAGCTTAAATGGGTTATCTCCTTAGCGCACCACTCTGATGAGATCAATTTTCTATTGAAAAACCTTTTTTCCACCATCCCCATTGCCTAACAGGCAAATAGACACTCTTGTTCCTGGCCTTCGAGGCCCTCCACGATGAGGCTCTGCTCCCTTTCCAGTATCATAACAAACTGCTCCCCTTTCACATAATCTTGGTTCCTGCCCAGCTGTAACAGTACAATGAATCCTCTGAAGTGGTTGCATGCCTTAAAATTTCCACTATTTGAAATTATAATTACACAAAATAGGGGCCTTGGTTCCATCTCAATGGAAATATGTGGTACAAATTCAAATAATTCAACCACTTTAGGGGATTTATTGTTCACGCTAACCAGGACAGAGCTCTCAATCCTCCATTATCCTCTCGCCCTCTCCTGTTTCCCTGCCTTTGCTTTCATCTTCCCCCACAACCAAAATGGACTCTCCAATTCTCTCCCCCATTTCCTTCTGATGAATACCTTCCTTTCCTTCATGGTCCAACTCAGATGCCACCTCCTTCATGAAACCTCCCCAGATGCCATGACTTTGAATCCCTCAGATCAGCCGTGGGGAACCCTCAGCCTCCAGATGACATGTGGCCTCTAGGCTGCAGGTTCCCCACCCATGCCCCAGATGAAAATCAGAGAATCTGGGCTCACATGGATTTCAGAGACCACCTAAACTGACCTACATCACACACACACACACACACACACACACACACACACACACACACCCCCTCTCAGGTACAAAACCTGACGAGGGATCTTCTTTTGCTTGGAGATATGCAATATCCCTATTCTAGATAGCTCTGATTGTCAGGAAGTTTTGCCTCAATCTACGTCTTTATAATTTACACCTACTGCTTCCAATCCCACCACCTGGGGTCAAGCCACCCCAGTCTAATTGCTCTTCCACGTGACCCATCCTTCAGATACTTGACAACAGTTCTTGTGTACTTGTGTACTCCCTCTGTCTCTTCTCCTGTCCCCAGCTTTATAGGTGAAATTGATTCTTTGAACCCAAAACCTTTACATTTATCCCTCCTGAATTTAATCATATTAGATCTGAAAAAAAAAATATACTAGCCTGTCAAGCTCTTACTGGATCCTGACTTTATCACCTATTGTGTTAGCTTCCCCTCAGATTTGATAAAAAGTGCCATCTATACCTTTACCAAGTCATTGATAAAAATGATCTTTCCATCTTCAGATTTATCACAGCAATTTGCCTGGATCAGGGGTGGGGAACCTTCGGCCTCGAGGCCACATGTGGCCCTCTAGGTCCTCAAGTTCAGCCCTTTGACTGAATCTAAACTTCACAGAACAAATCCCCTTCATAAAAGGATTTGTTCTTTAAAACTTGGACTCAGTCTAAAGGCTGCATCCAAGGACCTAGAGGGCCACATGTGGCCTTGAGGCCACAGGTTCCCCACCCCTGGCCTGGATCTATCCTCTGGAATGACCTCCCTTTCCCTTACATCAGAGTTATTTGTATATGTATCTTTCTCCCCGTTTCAATTTAAGCTACTTAAAAGGAGAATCTAAACTTATCCCTTTACATCCCTAACACTTAGCACAGTGCCTGTAAACACCATCCATGCTCAGTAACTGTTTGTCTAATGAATGAATGAATAAATGAATGAATGAATGAATGAATGCCTGAATGTGTAAGTTGGAGAGGAAGAGAAGAAACCACAGTCTACCTCTGGGGAACATACATGATGAGAGAGGAAGGAGCATCAATTCTGTTCTTCCCTAGCAGAGATTTGAGTGAAGGCCACTTGGAGGAAGGGTCAAGGCTGGATGACCACTTGTTAAGTATGTCATAGTGGGGGGTTAGACCACACGAGCACTGAAGTCCTTCCAATTCTCAAATTCTGTGGGATGAGTAGGACCAGGATTGGAATTTAGGACAAGTCTGAGGGCAAAATGGAGATCTGGTGAGCTACTCTGGAATACCATCCCAATAGAGCAGGGAGAGGAGGCTCACCTCAGCAATGACCGTGAGTAAGGCAGATGTGGCCACAGTGACAGCAAAGGACTGATAATCACAGATGCCTCCAGGTCCAGCCATGTCATCGAAGGCCCACAAAGCCACATAGAAATTCACCAGGGATGCAGCAGTGCCATGGGCCAGAGCCACAAAGAAGACCCGATAGTTGAAGAGTTGGTCCTTCTGCCCCACACTATAAAACTCAGGGAACTCCAAGCATTTCTTGGCACTCATATCCTTGGTTGTGAAAGGGAGAAGAGGTGCTCGATCTCAGCACTGGTAGAAGGTGGAGCCCCCTCCAGCACTACCACCCGTGAATGTTGGAGGGGAAGACCAAAGGGTGTATTCAGAGGCAACTCACAAAGGGTTAACCCCTAGAAATCACTCCCCACAAAAGGTTAAGACAACAGCAGCAACTCTAGCAAGGAACAAGTTGGTACTTTCCTCCCTATTACTTTACATTGTTCTGGAATTGTGCTGATTTGCCTGGGACTCCTTTTGCGTGTGACACCTTCATCTTAAGCAGAAAACCCATGTGGAATCCTCTTGCTAATACCCACCCCTTTTCCAGGGATCCCCTGAGACCCTAAAGGTAGAGAGGAAAGAGGCAAGAGTGGGGAGGGTTTACCTGCTCTAGAAGGCCCATGGAGAGTACAGGATAGGCTGTATAGAAGATATTGTAGAGAGCCAGGAACCAACCTTCATATAGTGGCTGCAGAGGGAGAGAGGAAGTTAGAACAACAAGGGACAGGCAGGGAAATCAAAGAGAAAAGAAGATGGAGGAGGGAAGAAGGGAAAGGAAAGGGAGGATGTCATTAAATTAGTTTCAGTCTACATTCAGACATGTTGCACATGGTTGGTTCTGCTGGGAGTTGATGTTCATGAAAATGAAGCCAGCAGCAACTAGCTTTTATTCTTTTTTTTTTAGGCAATTGGGGTTAAGTGACTTGCCCAGGGTCACACAGCTACTAAATGTCAAGTGTTTGGTCTGAGGCCTGATTTGAACTCAGGTCCTCCTGACTTCAGGGCTGGTACTCTATCCACTGTGCCACCTAGCTGCCCCAGCTTTTATTCTTATATGTTAAAGTTGGAAAACCTTCTTCTTTATGCTAAAGAACTTCATGTGTTGGCTCCAAGCTGACCTAGAATCCCAGAGCTATGTACTTTTTGAAGAAGATTTGCTTTGCTAAGGGAAGAGATTAGAAAAGGAATGTCCTGATAGATGGCTATCTAAGGACAAGCCAAGATTAATTACAGAGAAAAACGTCCCTGATTGGACCTTACACTTTTACAACTTCAAAGATTGTTCCATACATGTCAGCTTGAAATATACATTTCACCAAGGTAGAAGAAGATGGATAAGTTCTTGGGAAAATTCTAGAATGTATTATTAAAAGGAACACTTAGAAAAGGAAGCAGCCAGCATGGGCTCGTCAAGAGCAAATCATGGCAGAAAAAAAATCTCCTTTGCTCTTCTGTAAGATTGGTAAATCAAAAGAAGCTTCTGAATCCTTGGATTTCAGGAAAGAATTAGGGGGAATTTTTCATGATCTCCTTGTGGATAAGATTGGGATAGTTGATACTATATTTAGGCTTTAGACCAGACCTCCGAAATGATTCTTTTTCTTTTCTTTTTTTTTTTTTTTGGCTAGGCAATGGGGTTAAGTGACTTGCCCAAAGTCACACAGCTAGTAAGTGTTATGTGTCTGAGGCCGGATTTGAACTCAGGTCCTCCTGAATCCAGGACTGGTGCGCTATCCACTGGGCCACCTAGCTGCCCCCAAAATGATTCTTAATGTGTCAATGCCAAGCTGGAGGAAGGCTGTCTCTTAGAGTACACAGATTCCATAAGACCCTGTCCTTGGTCCTCTCCTATTCAACATTTTTATCAATGACTTGGACAAAGGCAAAGATAGCATGCTTATCAAATTTGCAGGTGACACAAAATTGGGAGGGATTGCTCTCATGCTCAATGCTAGAGTTTGAATTCAGACAAATGTCAAGAGGCCAGAACAATGAGCCGGGATCTAATAAACATAGTCGAACTCTTGGGTTCCAAAAGGGCAATGTCACAAGTATAGGATAAGGGAGGCGTGGCTGCCAGACAGATCATCTGAAGGAAGGTCTAGGGATGTTAGTGGAATGCCAGCAGGAATGAATCGATGGCACCAAATAAGCTTTGTGGCCCTAGGATACACTGAGATGCATGGAGTCCAGAATGAAAGAGGTGATAAGCCCTCCCTGTACTCTGCCCTGGTCACATCACACCTAGAGTATTTATTGTGTTTAGGCGTGGATGTCACATTTTAAAAAGGACATTGATAAACTGGAACAGGTTCAGAAGGAAGTCAAAATGGTAAAAGGCACTGAAGATCAAGCCCTGTAAAAATCAGCTAAAAGATATAGGAGTAATATCATATTGCTTGCCTTCTCAGTGGGTAAGGAAGGGATTAGAGAGAGGGGGAAAATTTGGAATTCAAAACAAACAAAAAAAGAACATCAAAAATAAATAATAAATTCTTGAAATAAATTTTTAAAAAAGGAAATGGGTGTGTTTAGCTAGAAGAGTTGCCTGGAGAGCAGAGGGAGGATGTATGGGATAGCTGTCTTCAAGTATTTAAAGGACTACTTATAGTTTGGGGCAGCTAGGTGGTGAAGTGAATAGACCACTGGGCTTGAAGTCAGGAAGACTCATCTTAGCGACTTCAAATCCAGCCTCAGACACTTACTAGCTATGTGACCCCAGGCAGGTCACTTAACTCCATTTGCCTCAGTTTCCTCATCTGTAAAATGAGCTGGAGAAGGAAATAACAAACCACTACAGTATCTTTGCCAAGAAAACCCCTAATGGGGTCATGAAGACTCAAATACAACTGGACAACAACAAAAATTTGTAATTTATCTCCAAAGGGCAATGTGAGTGGGGCTTGGCATGAGAGAAAAACTTCCTAACAATGAAAGCTATCCCAAAGTAGCAGGTTCAAATCCTGGCCCTCCTGCTTTGCTACCTGGTGACCTTGGGGCAGGTCACTTTTCTTTTCTGGAACTCTCTGCCTCTTCATATGTGAAATGCAGGAGTGAACTAAAATGGGCCTAACTGTCCCTTCCAGCTCAATTTAACTTGACTGAGCTGACTTGGTCACACCCCCAACAGAAGTATACTTTGAAAGTCAAAAAAGATTCTAGTAGACTCCTTGACCTAATACCAAGAGAAGTTAAAGGACTTAGCTAGAAGAGATGCCTGGGGGCAGGGGGAGGGGGAACTGCACAGCTGAAGGACTATTTAGTTCATTCACAAAAGGCAAAGGGGGTGGGGGTGGGGAATCTGTCTTGTCATTAAAAATTATAGAGTAATGACAAACGTCAGAAAGAGGGGAGAGGGAGAGACAGGATGGAAAGAGAAAAGGAAATGAAAGCATTAAGAGGAAGGGAAAGGGGGAAGGGAGAGACACTGTTGGGACAAGAGACCTAAAAGGTTTTTGACTGTCTAGACTCGAGCCCACAGAAAGTGGTCCCTATCCCATTTCCCCAGACTTGGCCATGGTGTTCTAAGGAGCTAGGTCACAGACCCTGCTCTGTCCGGGCCATGGTGAAACAGCTGTTCCCAACCTCCACCCCAGAGGTGGCTGTATTGTCTGAGAGGACCGGGACACAGGGATGTAGGAGAGAGAGGGGGGACTTAGAGAAGGGAATAGATTCAGAGCCAGAGGGTCCCGCTAGAATTGCAGCTCTGCCATTTGTTGCCTTAAGCCTGAGGATTTCCCTCTTGGGGACTTTGTCTCTCCCTCTCTAAAACAGCACATCATTGAAACTCCCTGGGCCTCAATTTCTTCATCCATAAAATGAGGGCATTGTAATGCATAGCTTCTGAAGTCCCTTCTAGGTGGGTAGCTAAAATCCCTAGGTCATGGGAAGGAGGAGTAGCTGGGGGAGGTTCTGGTAGCGGGAGGGGAAAGGTGAAGAAAGCCCGTCCCACAGGGATCCTTCCCCCACCCCTATCCCACCATGCACCTGAGCTGTGAAGCCACTGTAGAAAGCGAACCAGATCTGAACCATCATGCTGGCAAAAGTCTTGTAGAAAAAGTAACGAAGAAACTTGCAGATACGGAGGTAAGACCAACGCCCATGCACCAGAAGCAGCCGCTGTAGGTAGGCGAACTGGGCCAAGGCATAGTCACTGCACTGGACTGCCTGCATGCCCTCCTGTCCACTGATCCCCACCCCGATGTCCGCAGCTGTCCCGACACAGAAACAGCGTCAGGTTGGGGGTGGGGGGGCTGAAGCATCTTCACATTCCACCCCCCCAGGACCATAACTGGAAACCCCAATCTTCTTCTCCCTTCCCCCAGTGCCTCCACCTTGGACTCCAACCCTAAATTTGTGCCTCTGACTCTAAGTAGGGAAGGAGGAGAGGGGGGCCAGTCCTCCCTCCAGTTCTGCCATCAATTCACTAGCTAGCTTTGGACAAGTTATCTGGCCTCCCTTAGGTAGTAGTCCTGCCACTATGAGCAATACCTGGAGCGCCTACCCCATCATTATCAGCAGCAGCAGCATCATTACTAGCAACTATATCATCATTGAAGGTTTGCATATATTATCTCACTTGATTTGATCTTTACAACAACTCTAGGAGGGAGATGCTATTATTATCCCCATTTCACAGGTCAATCAGATGAGGAAAGTGAGGCAGAGAGAGGTTAAGTGACTTTCCCAGAGTCACACAGGCAGTAAATATCTAAGGAGAGATTTGAACTCAGGTCATCATCCATGAGGGCATCTGCTTGCCCCTAGGCAACAGCTGGAATCCCCTGCACCATGAGCCACAGCTGGAACCCTGGACCACTGGATCCCTTCCCTCTCCCAATTTCAACACCAACTCCTCCCCGCCATAGTCCAGTACTGACTCCTGTCCTCCAGGGCCACAACTGAAATCTCCCCATCCAGGGCCACACCTAGAATCTGCCCCTCAACAGAGGCAGCACACAGCTGGCAGTGGTCCCCAGATCCCAGAATTCCATATGGACCCCTCCTCTCAAGTGGCCTGGTGGCTGCCCTTGACTCCCTCCCCCACCATTCCAAAGACACTCTGTCCCATGTGGCTGCTCACTCTTGATCATGTTAACATCATTGGCACCATCCCCAATGGCCAGTGTGATCACTTGCTGGTACTTCTTGACCAGCTGGACGATAAGGGCCTTCTGCTTGGGGGTCACGCGGCAGCAGATGACAGCCTGGCACTTGGAGGCCAGATCCACAAAGGCTCGCTCCCGCCGGCTTGCCAGGTCCTCCTGAACCTGCTGAGCTCCATAGTGCCACCCCATGCGGGTCAGCAAACTGTGCTTCTTTGTCCAGGACTGTGCCTCCCCTGCCCGGGGCAGCAGCTTGTCCTGTAGGGAGCCAGGAGAAAGGGGACAATGCTCACTCCAGCTCTGTCATTGACTCGCTAACTAGCTTTGTTCAAGATCTAGCCTCTTTGAGCCCCAATGTCCTCTGTAAGATGAAGATGGTAATGTCTGCCCGATGGGAGAGGAGGAAAGTTCTAATAGGGGTGGGGAACCTTCGGCCTCAAGGCCACATATGGTCCTCTAGGCCCTCAAGTGTGGCCCTTTGACTGAATCCAAACTTCACAGAACAAATCCCCTTAATAAAAGGATTTAATAAATAATATTATATTTATTTAATATAAATAATTTAATAAGTAAATCCCCTTAATAAAAGGGGGTATAGTATCGATGAGACAGTCCCTGCCCTCATGAACTTTATAGTCTGGACTTCCACACACTTATTCACCCAATGCACTCACATATGGACAGTTACATATACCTAAATTTACACATCGCCATAGAAATAAACATAGGATCACAGATCAATGATCTAGAACCCCAAAGGGCATCTAGCCCAAGCCCTTCATTTTACAGATAAGGAAACTGAGGTAAGCTTGGGAGGTAAAATGATTCACCCAAAGGTATGCAGGTAGTAAAGCATGAAAGGCAAAATTTGAACCGAGGGCCCCATTCGTACTGCCATCCTGTTCATTGCTAAGTGCCCCCTGCATCAAGTTTCTCTGCTGCAGCTTAAGGAACCTTCCCCAAAGTGGTCTGGGAGACAAAATCTCCCTACCTGGAGATCATCAGGTATGGCCAGGCCCTGGGACGGGCAATGGAGGGTCCATCCCTCTTCCATATTCCATCCTGCCCTCCCTCTCCTCGGAGTCTTCCATGGTGGTGAGTGGGGATTGACACTTACCAGGAAGTCTCCAGTGACCACCAGGGCCATTTTGCTCTGTTGCTGCTGAAGCTTTGGACCAGAGTCTCGAACACCTCTCAGGTTGTTGTTGCTCTCCCAATATGCCTCGAGCACCCCACTGCAGAGACAGATAGCACCCCTCTCCTCACTGGTCAAATGGGACTGAATCATCCCAGATAGGACCAGCTACAGCCAGTGTCAGAGGCCCAGACAGGACTACAGCCCCTTCCCACCCAAAAATGCCATAGCCTCAAAGCTCTGGGGAAGCCCATAGTTCGATGTGTGACCTTGGACAAGTCACATTTCCTCTGCTACAAAATAGAGAGATTAGACTAAAAAAATATCTCTAAGGTAGCTCTCCAGCTCTGACGTTCTATATTCTAAGGGCCTTTCCAGCCCTGACATTCTATGTTCTAAGGGCCCTCCCAGCTCTGACATTCTATGTTCTAAGAGCTCTCCCAACCCTGACATTCTGTGTTCTAAGGGCCCTTCCTCCTTCTAACATACTGTGTTCTAAGTCCCTTCTTCCAGCTCTGACATTCTCTCTTCTAAGGTCCCTTCTAGCTGTGGCATTCTGTATTCTAAGCCCTACCAGCTCTGACACTCTCTTCTAAGACCCCTTCCAACTTGAACATTCTATGTTCTAAAGCCTCTTCCAGTTCTAACAATCTCTAGGTTCTAGGGTCCCTCTCAGCCCTGGCATTCTATGGTCTCTGTTTAAAGTCCATATGTTTAGAAGTCATGGAGTCTAATGGAAGCAGCCCAGGGTCTGGAAATCAGGAGACATGAGTTCTAATTGCTTCTCACTGTATGACAAATTATTTAACCTCCTCAGTCTTAAGACTCCTTCTGTAGAATCAGGATTTAAAATTGGATTATAGGATTATAAGAATAGAGTAGAAAGGGCCCTTGAAATCTAATAGCACCTGCCCTGCCCAGCTCCCAGAAGTAGCATTTGGAAACGAAGTGTGAATGCATTTGGCAGGTGTAAGATTCCCCTACAGCCAGAAGAAAGGATTTGCTCATCACCGTTGACACCCTGGCAGGCAATTCTGTTCCCCAGGATAACTGCTCCCTCCCACCACTCTCCCCAGGGTGCTCTCCCTGCCCCCACTGCTTACTAGATTTCCTTCTCCTCCAGAATCTCCATATCATCAGATAACAGTCGGCAGGCAAACCCAATGTTCACAGCAGTCTCTGCAAAAGAGAGGGCTCCCCTTGTACCAGGCAGTCTCCATGTCCCACCCCTGCCAAAACACCTCCTTTCTGGGGGTCCTTCCAACTTGCTAGACCATCCCTTATTGAAGCAGTGGTGGCTGCCAGCTTGGGAGAGTGGGCATCGTAAGAACTGGATTTGGCATCAAATAAGGCACTGAGGCACACCACATACAGTCCTGGCTTTGGAATTACCTGTGTTCACCTCCCACCTGAGCCACTTACTAGCTGTGTGACTGAGCATCTGGAAAGTGGAGATAATAACAGCACCTACTGGGCAGGGGGTGTGGTGAGGTTCCAATGAGGGAATACATCTAAAATGTAAAGCACTATATAAATATGTGCGCTTTAATGTGCATAATGAATAATGCTTTCTCTAGGTGCTCTCTACAGGTTATCTCTATTGTTGTTATTAGCAATAACCTTACTTGTCTACTAATAAAAGACCACATAACTGTTTTACAATACATCCCTAATTAATTATTCCTAATAATAACATTCATAATTATTTCATTATTAATTTGCAGGATCATCTTTCCAATGCCAAGCTGTGTGACACAGGAAAATTCACTTGAGATCAGAGATTTAGAGCTAGAAAGAGCCTTATAGACCTATATAGTCTAACCCTTTCATTTTACAGATGAGAAAACAGAGGCCCAGAGAGGGGAAAGAACTTGCCTAGGGTCACACAGGTACTATGGTACTAACTGACAGAGTTGTTTTCAGGTCCTTTGATTCCAAATGTAGCATGATTTCCACTATACTCTGAACCTCAGTTTCCTCATCTGTAAAATGGGGACAATAAGCCTTTCTCAAAGGTTGTTCAGATTTAGAGCTGGAAGAAACCTTAAAGATATTCTTGCCCAGCCCCAGAGGTATGCTGATAAATATTTAACAACCGGCTGGCTCCTGGTGGGGAGGTATAAGACCCACTTTAGGGTTTAATTAACATTAACATTTTCTCCATTACTTTTTGAAAAGTATAGACAACCAACAAAACAATAAAATAAGTCCTGATTTTGTGTATCCATTTACAAGGTGAAAATACTCAAGTTGAAATTTTAACAATCGGCTCTCCTAAAGCCAACGTGAGTTAGCTCTGGCACACCCCTACCCAGCCCTCTCATTTTATATCACAATCATTTCTGGAAAAAAGTAACCCAATCTCCTCTCCCTCCAAAGTTGACAGGGGTGATGTGATGGACTGTAGCACCTCCCACAGAGTCTAGCTTTTCCTGGCACAGTTGTTAATCCTTTTTGACATAGAATGACCTTTATCATGGGGCCATAGCATGGGTCACTCCCCATGGAGCATGCCCAGTTCTGTAGGCAGTTCACCCGATCATCAGTTAACCACAATCACTTAATACAGTGACTTCATCTGACATCGTTCTGCTGAAGCATTCCCCCACCTCTCTGCCAACAGGAAGGAAATCTACTTTATTATCAGTTTTCTAGGACCATTACTCAAAACTCTCACTCTACAGATTAAAAAAAGCTGAGGCCTAGAAAGGTAAGTGACTTGCCCAGGGTCACACAAGGGCTCTTGATAGCACAGAGCTGGGATTCTAATCCAGGTTCTCTCACTCCAGATCCAGTGTTCTTCCCATCGTACCACCCACCTTACAAAGTTACTGTGGGAAAAAGGCTCTGTAAGCTGGAAGGCCCTCCTAGAAAATGGCAATACCATTATTTTGGCACAACCCTGGCAGATTATCTTCTTGGGGCCTGTACCTATAACCCAGAATGGTTATCTTTCCCAGGAAAAGAGAGAGACATTTTCTATCCAAATACGCACCCATAAACTGGGTCTCAGCCAGGAAAATAAAAGCCAGATTAATCTACAATTTCTCAGAAGTAAATGACCCAGTACACACACACACACACACACACACACACACACACACACATACACACACACACGCACTCACACCAGACTGTTTCCATCAGGGCTGGCCCAGTCAGATGGAGAAGTCACCCTTCAGGTACCTGCCTTTCCATGGTCCTTCGCCTCTCACAAGTATAAGGGGCCTGAGCAAAAATGTGCAAACTGCAGCCTGGAGAGTGCCAGGACTCTGTACAAATTTCCTGATTCCAAATCCAGCACACCTTTCACTAATATTCCGAAGCTTCCCTCCATCCGTCTAGAGAAGCCTACCCTGAAAAAAGGGAATTGTGAAATTCACCCATGTTGAGGAGAAAATGACAGGGAGGATGGGAGGATGGTTAGAGAACAGTCCCTTTAGGGACTTTGGAGGAAGGGGATAGTGGTGGCATTTTAACTGACAAACAATGTCTCAGTAAAGCTAAAGAAATGAAGCTCTCATGGTATAATTCCAGTGGATAAGAATACTGGGCTGAATTCAAATTCAGCTTCAGATACTAGTTGTGTGACCCCGGAGTAAGTGACTTAACCTCTGTCTGCCTCAGCTCCCTCAACTGTAAAATGGGATAATAACAATAATACCTACTTCTCAGGGTTTTTATGAGGATCAAATGAGAAATATTTGCAAAGTGCTTAGCACAGTGCCTGGCACATAGTAGGTACTTAATAAGTGTTTGTTTCTTTTATTCCTTCCTTCCTTTCTCCCAGGCATCAGCCAAAAAAGATTGGAATGGAAAATGGGGAGAGGTGTTGGGGAGGGGAGAAGGACAAAAGAGCCTCTGGGAAGTCCTGGAATCCCTCATCTAAACTCTGGGCCCCTAAGGCAGGATTAAAGAGATGATCTTAGTATAACCCCCTTGTGTTACAGATGAAGAAACTGAGGCCCAGAGAATTAAGCGACTTGCTCAAGGTAGTACCTCTAGTAGAAAAGCCAGATTTGAACCCAGGTCCTGTCTTCTTCCTACTATGTTTTTTGCCACACTAAGTAATTGTTCCACGTGCCTTCAAATTCTACCAAGCCTTCTCTGGGCCTCAGTTCCCTCGTCTGTAAAGTAGAGGAGAATCCCCTGCCTATCTTATGGTGAGAATTCAGTCTGGTCATGGAATGCCAGAACATTAGAGCCAGAAGGCATCTCAGAGATCTTCTGGTCTAACCTTCTCCCTTCACAGAGGAGGAAGTCAGGGGTAGAGCTGGGATGTGAAGCTCAAATCTCTTGACTCCAAATCCCACGGACTTTGCGTAACACAAGGCTGCCTCCCTTGGAGACCAATGTTTCTCAGAAGCTGGGAGCAGGGCAGGCACTGGAGAATGACCTGAGGGTGGTAGAGATGTGAAGTATCTCACTCTAACAGCTTCCATAGTTCCCAAGGGCTGCTGGATAAAGTCCCAACTTCTTACTCTGGAATCTGAGGTCCTCCAAGACCTTGTCCCACTCTGCCTTTCCAGCTTCCTCCCATTCCCAATAAATCTTCATTTCCCTATATCCCTGACATGAGGATGATGTAGGATAGTAGAAAAAACAAATTTGGAGTCAGAGGTTCTGGGTTCAAATCCCAGTCATATTACTGACTACCTCTGTGGCCTAGGGCATGGTCCCCAAGATCCCATCCAGCTCCAACATTCTCTAACATCGCTGTTCCTTGAACAAAACCCTCTATCTCCCAATTGGGCATTTTCCCTGGATGTCCCCCATGCCTGCAAAGCGTTCCCTCCTCAGCTCTACCTACTGACCTCCCTGGCTCCTGCAAGTTCCAACTAAAATCCCACCTTCTTGATGTGGAAAAATTGGAACATTAATACATTGTTGGTGGAGTTGTGAACTGATCCAACCATTTTGGAGAGCAATTTGGAACTATGCCCATAGGGCTATAAAAAAATGTGCATACCATACCCTTTGACCCAGCAATAGCACTTCTAGGGCTGTATCCCAAAGAGATCATAAAAATGGGAAAAGGACCCACATGTACAAAAATATTAATAGCAGCTCTTTCTGTGTTGTGATATGACTAACTTCGATAGACTTAGCTCTTCTCAGCAATGCAAGGATCTAAGACATCTCCAAAAGTGTCATGATGGAAAATGCTATCCACATCCAGAGAAAGAACTATGGTGTCTGAAAGCAGATCGAAGCATACTATTTGCTCTTTTGTTTTTTTTCTCCTTCTGTTTTGTTTTGTTTCCTCTTTCTTGTGGTTCCTCCTATTGTTTCTAATTCTTCCTTATAACATGACTAATGTGAAAATATGTTTAATAGGAATGTAAATGTATAGCCTATATCATATTGCACGCCCTCTATGGGAGGGAGGTAGGAAGGAAGGGGGAGAAAAATTTAAAACTCAAAAGTTTGTGGAAGTGAATGTTGAAAACTAAAAATAAATTATGAAAAAAAATAAAGAAAGAAAAGAAGAAAATGGGTTTTCCCAAAAACTAAAATAAAATCCCACCTTCTCCAGGAAGCCTTCCCCAACCCCTCTTAAGTCTAGTGCCTTCCCTCTGCTAATTATTTCTAATTTACCCTGTCGAGAGCTTGTTCATACATCTTTCTTTGCTTAGTCTCCCCCATTAGATTGTAAGCTCCTTGAGGGCAGGGACTGTCTTTTGCCTCTTTTTGTATCCCTAGCACTTAGCACAGTGCCTGGCACATAGTAGGTGTTCATTCCCCCTCCTTGCCAAGTTCTATCTGTACTTTAAGGCTCACCTCCTCCAGGAGGCCTTCACTGAATATCTTGCCACCTAAAGGTCTTACCTTTCTTCAACTTGGGTTCAAATTCCACCTCTGATACTGACAATCAGTGAGACCCACAAACCTCAGTTTGCTCATCTGCAAAATGGGTTAAGGACACCTGGAGTATCTGCCTCACAGGGTAGTTCTGGGAATCAAAGAAGTTCCTTCCCTAAAGTTTCCAAAACTTAAATCTGACTATCAATGTCAGCTCTGGAGTTCCTCCAGCCCAAACTGTCCCTCCGTCTTGGAGCAGAAGCTTAGTTTGACTCAAAATAGCTAAATACCACCCATACACACATCAAATCCCCTATTGCCTCTTAGATAAGATATAAATATCACAAGTTTCACTTTCAAAGTCCTTCACAAGCTGGCCCCAACCCATCTTTCCAAACTCATTATCTATGACTCCTCCTCATACACTCTTCAGTGCAGCCATACTGTCCTTTTCTCTGTTTCTCACTCACAGTGCTCCATCTCGTCTCTCTACCTTTGCCCTGGCTGTCCTTCATGCCTGATAAGCCTTCCCTCCTCCCCTTTACCTCACAGAATCTCCCCTCTTCCTGCAAGACTCAGTTCAAGCATCACCTGCTGCATGATGCCCCACCAATTGCTAGTACCCACTCTCCTAAACCCCCTGGCATTTATTTTGTATCCATTCTGGATACATTTAGTCTACACATACCTACTGGTAGATAATTGGTAGATAGTGTAATTGGTCTCGGATCCTTTCATTTTTTGTTCTTGTATTTCTACTGCCTAGCAAGGGGCCTGATACATTGTTATTGTTACTGTTGTTCAGTGCTGGGCTTTAAGTCAGGAAGACTCATCTTCTTGAGTTCAAATCTGTCCTCAGGACACTTACTAGCTGTGTGACCCTGGGCAAGTCACTTCACCCAGTTTGCCCTGTTTCCTTGTCTATAATAAGTGGGAGAAGGAAATGGTAAACCACTCCCATATCTCTGCCAAGAAAACCCCAAATGAAGTCACAAAGAGTCAGACACAACTGAACAACAATTGAACATACTAGGTGCTTAATACATGTTGGTTTTTTTTATAGATGTAAAGACAATTCAATGTCTTTAACATTAAAATTCTACTGGATGTCAGTGAATCTTTGAGGATTCAAAAGGCACTCCAAGAGTATGCCAGGAAGAGGAAGAGCATGATAATAAGGGGACATTAAACCAGGCTATGCAAGGAGCAGTTAAAGGAATTGAGGATGTTTGTCCAAGGAAAAGAGTTAAGGAAGCCATGATCACCATATTCTAATTTGAGAAGAGCTGTCACATGGAAGAGAGATTCTGTTTTTCCTGCTTGGCCCCAAAGGGCAACTTGATATGATAGAAAGAGTATTTGCATTTGGAGAAAAAAAAAACAAATAAAACATAGACTAACTTCCAAGCTCTGCTATTTACTCCATGCAGGACTTAAGACAAGTCACTGCACTTAACCCCAATTGCCTAAAAATTAAAAAAAAAAAAGACAAATCACTGAACCTCTTTCATCAAGAAAATAAAGGAGTTGAATTAAAGATCTCTAAGATTCCTTCCAGGGCAACTAGGGGGCACAGTAGGTAGAGCACCGGGCCTACAGTCAGGAGGCCTGAATTCAAATTTGGTTGTGTTGACTCTGGGCAGGTCACTTCACCCTGTTTCCTCATCTGGAAAATGAGCTGGAGAAGGAAATGGCAAACCACTCCAGTATCTCTGCCAAGAAAACTCCAAATGGGATCACAGAGAGGTGGATAGGACTGAACAACAGCAAATACTAGAACTACTCTAATGATCTTGACTAGGACCAGTAGGTTTTCTTTCAACCTAAGGAAGGACGTCCTAAGGATCAGAGATGCTCAGCAATAGAGTGAGCTGGCTTGGGAAGTAGTAAGCTCTTCATTTGGAGGTGTTCAAGAAGAGGCTGGAAGACAAATCGTTGGAAATGTAGTTGAGGCAATGAGTTGTCCTAGGACAACTAGAACAACTGTCTAGGAGTTGTCCTAGACATCTTTGGAGGTCCTTTCTGGTGATGAGTGTATGGTTCTATACCTGGAGACCCCACAGGGTCTCTCACATGGTTCTGTCATTATTCTGTTATTCATTTCTCACCGTCCAAGGCTACAGGTTTGGGGATCTTTATTGGAGGACTTCAGAAACCCAGGGGAAGTCCCCACCCTCACAAATTCCTAGTCTTACCTGCTCACTGAAGCCAGAAATGTTTTCCCAGAATTTCTTCCTCTCATTAGTGACACACCTTCAAATACAAATACCATTGAGAGGGAGCCCAAGGCCTGAAGTTCATTTGTCCTTGTTGTTGATCATTTGTGTCAGTGGCTGACTCTTTGGGATTTTCTTGGCAGTGATACTAGAGTGGTTTGCCATTCTCTAGCTCATTTTACAGATGAGAAAACTAAGGCAAACAGGGTTAGGTGACTTGCCCAGGCTCAGACAGCTATTAAGTATCTGAGGCTAGATTTGAACTCAGGTCTTCCTGACTTCAAACTTGGTACTTTATCCACTCTGCCACCTAGCTGCCTGGAGTTCTATTAGAGACGCAGAAATCTTCCAAAGAGGAGGTTTTAGGGAGAGGGGATTGAGTCCAAAGACCATGGAGGCCTGGAAGGTGTCGGTAGGGCACATGAAGTGGAAAGAACCTGGGACTTGGGGTCCAGGTAGGTTTCCAGCTCCAGCTATGCCATTGAGTTGATGGGAGTCCTTAAAAAAGTCACTCCCCCAGTCCTGAGTCACAGTTTTCCCATCTGTAAAACAATAGGGTCAGACCACTTGGCAGGACAGCCAGAGAACTTAGGCTTACAATTCTAAGAATTCCAGGCAAGTGGTTCAAAATAAAGAAAGTGACCATGGGCACTTGACCCTGGTCAGATCCATATTTAGAATCCTGTGTGCAATTCCAGGTGATACATTTTTGGAAGAACGGGGTTAAATTGGGTAGGGTGGCCAGGATGGGAAGGGAGAGAACAAGTATTTATTTACCAAGCATCTCTTATGTGCCAGGCACTGTACTAAGCTCTTTATAAATATTTTCTCATTTGATCCTCACAGGTAAAATAGGTACTGTTATTATCCCCATTATTTACAGGTGAAAAAACTGAGGCAAATAATGGGTTAAGTGACTTGCCCAGGGTCACACAGCTAGTAACTATCTGAGACTGGATTTGAATTTAGATCTTCCTGACTCCAGACCCAGCACTCTACCCACTACACTACTCAGCTGCCCAATGGAGGCTAGGTCTTACAGAGATTAATTGAAAGAACTGAATGTGTTTAACCTGGTGAAGGAAAGAACTGCCAGGAAAATTTTGAAGGGAAAAGGAAGAGATGTGATAGGGGTCTTCAAATATTTGAAAGATTCAATTTCAACTTGGCCTCGGAGAGATTACAGAGAAGCAGATATTTCAACTTGGAGTAAAGAAAAACCTCCTAACAATTCGAGCTAGCCCAAAGTGGAATGGAAGCTTTCTTGGGAGGTAGTGAGCTTCCTGTGGCCACAGCAGAGTAACTATCGATGGCCACCGGACAGGTGTGTAATAGAGGGGATTCCTGTTCAGATACAGGTGAGAGTAGATGCCTTTGGCCATCCCTTCCCACTCTGACATTCTGTGATTCTGGGACTAAATGCAGTCAAAGGTCCCTTCCATCTCTAAGATTCAAAGTTTCAAATATCCTATAAATCTAAAGGTCCAATGGTTTGTAGGGTTTTAAAGTTCCCAATCCTTAGACTCTAAGGGTTCTAAGAGCCTAATGATTCCAAGGGTACTATGGGTATAAAGGGTCTAAAGGGCTTAATAATTCCAAGGTCTAAAAATTCCAAGGATACTAAACATTCTAGGGGTCAAGGGGTTCCAAGGTTTCTAGAAGTCAAATGGTTCCAAGGGTATTAAGGGGTTCTCAGTTCTAGGACTCAGGTTCTAACACTATCTGGTCATAAAGTCATGCAGTTCTATGAATTTAATAATCTATAGAGCTAAGATCCTACATTCCTAAAGCTTCTAAGGACCTAAGATTGCACCTATTTCCATTTTGAAGGGTCTGTGATTCCCCAAGTTTATCCTGTCAGATGAAAAAACAAATCCTCTGCTAAACTCATTCCCACTCAAGTGTTCATTCTTAGGGCCTCACCTCCCCAGATGGGACACCAAGCCCTTCAGTCTCTTTGCCAGAGAGGTTAAGGCCCAATCCAAAGCAGCACAGCACCACTAAGGAGGGGTAGGATTTAAACCCGGTATTTCTGGACAAAAGATTTTGGAGTCGGGCAGAGGGAAGGCTTCTCCAGTGTACCTCACTCTACCCCGTGGGGTGAGCACCCTTCCCAAGTTTCCAGGTAAGACTAGCCCTGCCTTTGGACCTGACACCCACAAGGACCCACCTTGTTTGTCTCCGGTCAGTACCCACACTTTTATATTCCCTTTCTTGAGGAGATGGATGGTGTCAGGCACACCATCCTGCAGCTTGTCCTCAATAGCTGTGGCTCCCAAGAGCTGGAGGATGGAGGAAAGAAAGGGGCTTTGAGTTCAAATCCTTCCCTTGACGAGATGCCACCCCCAATCCTACATAGAGCCAGGTTGGGCAAAGAGGAAAGGAAGCAATAGGAATTAAAGGTCTCCTCTCTTCTTTGGGCCCAAGTTTCCTCATCCCTAAAATATACAAGGTAGGCAAAATGATCTCTAAGGTCCCTCCCAGCTCCAACATTCCTTTTTCTTCTCTATTCTAAGGATCCTCCCAGATCCGACATTCCATGTTCTTTTTTCTAAGGGCCCTTCCTGCTCTGCCATCCTGCATCCTAAGGGCCCTCCTAGCTCTGTTATTCTGTATTTTATGTTTTAAGGCAGAGGTGTCACTCCAAGTGACCAGAAAAACTCCTGGGTTTCTTTCCCAAATCAGATTAAAATGTAATTGGGAAATGTTTAACAAATAAAAATACAATACAACATAGACAATGTTAATTTGTGGTGTTCTAAGTCACTACCTAATTAGCTCATTCAGCGTTCTAAGATCTCTGCTAACCTTGACATTCTGTGATCTAAGGTCCATCCTGGCTCTAGTATTTTATCTTCTAGGGCCCTCCAAGCTCTGACATCATATTCTATGTTCTCTGTTCTCGGTTTCCTAGTTTCTTCCAGCTCTGAGCTGTTCCTCCTGCCTCTAGAACCCTATTCTTCAGGCTCGATGCCTGAGGCTGGGTCTCAATGTTGGGCCCTACCCCACTTGCATCCCACCCCCACCCCCACCCCTACCTCCCCCACCCCCACCTACGTTAAGATCTTTTTCCATGTCCTCATACACTGCATCCAGGCCTTGGGCCCGGTTCTGCAGCAGGACACTGGCGTCGTGGTACCTCTGGCTCCATTCTTGGTAGACTTCTTCCTCCACTTCTTTGCTGGCTAAGCAGAGTGTCCGAAGTGTCTCTTCCGCAAAGGTCTGCCAAGGACAAGAGGACAAGTCAATTTGTCAGAGGTCCCATGTCCCTATTCTAGCCAGGTTATATCAAGGTGCAGGGGGGGAAGTGGAGAGGTAGTTCATATAGCATGAAGAGGACTTGGATTTGGTGTCAGAGGACCTGGGTTCAAATCCTGACTTTGCTATCTCATTCATTTATTCAGTCATTCAACAAATGTGGTAGGCACTGGGGGAGATAGAAGGGTTTGATAAGACTTTGTCCTTGCCTCATGGAGCTCAAGAGAAATAAGGCACAAACACAGATAACTGTCATACACAATAATACATAATGAGTTCATTAGAATGAATCAATCAATTAATGAAAAACCATGTATTAAGCACTTACTATATGTTGTTATTCAGTCATTTCAGTTGTGTCCAACTCTCTATGACCCCATTTGGGGTTTTCTTGGCAGAGACACTGGAGTGGTTTGCCAGTTCCTTCTCCAGATCATTTTACAGATGAAGAAACTGAGGCAAACATTATATACTTCTAGCTAAGACCAAGTAATGCTTCCTCCTTCAGGAAGTCTTCTCAGATTACACTCAAGTGTAAACCTACACTGTGCCCCATACCTCCTGCAGTCCAATCAACACTGGCCTGCCCCCTTCCTGAGCACTCCAGAGTTCCTGTTGACCCCATCCATCCTGTCTGATCCACACTCTCTTCCTCTGACCCAACACTCCACCTCATATCCAGGGGCCTAGTGCTCCTGATTGGTGAGAATTCATCATATCTAGCTTAGCCTGGATCACAATGGGCTGTCATTCTCCTGCCATGCTCTTCTTACCTTCCCCCAGCCCAGCCTAGCTCTTCTACCTCCAGCTCTGAGAATTCTGATTATTCGACCCTACCTTTCCTGGAGAGAATGCAGCTATCTATCACCCTATGACTCACCACTGGTTACTCCTCAGACCAAAATACCTCTCCCTGGCTGCTGGTGTTGAGTCATTTCAGTCGTGTGTGACTCTCTATGACCCCATTTGGAGTTTTCTTAGCAGAGACACTGGAATGATTTGCCATTTCCTTCTCCGGTTCATTTTACAGATAAGGAACTAGGCAAACAGGGTAAAATGACTTGCCCAGGGTCACACAGCTAGGACGTATCTGAGGTTGGATTTCAACTCAGGTCTTCCTGATTCCAAGCCTGGCACTTTATGCACTGTGCCACCTAGATATTGCCTGGCTAGGACTCCCCTAAATGAACCATCTTCTCCAAGAAGTAAATTCCTTGAGGGTAAGACTCTTACATTTTGTATATGCTGGGCAAATAGTAAGTACTTAATCATTGCTTTTTTTATTCCTTCATTTACTCATTGATTCATTCTCTAATGATCATGAGGTACCTAACAGCACTTGTAAGGGACTCATCTCCCCAGTCAGACTGAGGTCTCCTCTAGGGCAGAAACTCCCCAGAAGGGCCTGGCACCTACGATCACAGGACCATCATTATTTGATTTGAAAAGTACCTTAGGAATCTTGCTACTCAATTCCATTCAATTCAACCAGCATATGTGTAGGCCCTGCCTACCCCCCTCATTTTACAAAGGAGAAAACTGCTCTAAATCCCCTCCTTTCTCAACCCCCTCCTTCCCAACAGGACCTGGCACAGATCTGGGCATGTGCCTCATCTGTCTTCGTATTCCCAGGCCCCAGAACTAAGCCTCCAGACATCTGACATATATCTAGACATTCCTATATAAATACTCATTAAACTGAATGGTAGGAGTTCAGTACTTGTTGATTTGGGATCATCACATTTAGAGCTAAAAGGGAACACAGAAGGATCATGGGGTCTAACTCCCTCATTTTACAGAAGCAGGAACAAAAGCACAGACCTAAGGTCAAATGATTTGTCCAAGCTCACAAAGGGAGGCAGTGGGCAGCTGGGTTGCTCAGTGGATAGAGCTCAAGACCCGAGTTCAAATCCAGCCTCAGATATTCACTAGCTGTGGGACCCTGGGCAAGTCACTTAACCCTGCTTGCCTCGGTTTTCTCATCTGTAAAATGAGCTGGAGAAGGAAATGACAAACCACTCCAATATCTTTGCCAAGAAAATCCCATGGACAGTATGGTTCATGGGGTCACAAAGAGTCAGACACAACTGAATAACAAGCAGAGCTGAGATTTGGAGGTGAATTGGCCAGGATGGTTCCCAGGACCAGGGAAGAGCCTCTGTCCACAGCCTCAACCCAGAGAGTGTGACTCTGCCCTCAGCCCACTGGAATGGAGGCTAGCATCCTCCCAGGCAGAACTGCAGCCCCTGGTCCCTGGGGCTTTTGTTTTAGGAGGAGGCAGTGCGTCCTGAGCCCTGGAAGGAACTTCTAGGGACTGACCGTTGCTGGGCAACAGGAGGCCTAGAGACTTTATGATGCTTTTGTTTGGGCCTGGAGGAGGAAGGCCAGCTGGTCTCATTAGCCATCCATCCTAAAGGCCTCTAGGGCTCCGTCCCACCCCCAAAGGCCTCCCAGCACTCCATCCCCTCCCAGGCCAATCAGCTGTGAGCTCACCACGGGAGCTTGCACATACTAGGTATTTAACATATATTGTTTTGATTAGAACCCGACTTCACCACCTGTCTGACCTTAGGGAAGTCACTTTATTCCTCTGAGTTTTGAACTCTTCATTTGTAAAAAGGTAAAAAAAAAACAAAAACAAAAACAAAAACCAACAACAACAAGAAAAAACAAAAAAACAAGGTCTGTCCTGCCTTTCCGAATCAGTGCCCATTCTGGCCCACGGTAGTCACCCGCTGGCCCATTTCAAAGCCATACACTTCAACATGAACCCATAGTCCCAAAGAACAACTAATCTTTTTTCACCTCTACCCAGAGTGTTCCTCAACCCTGGGCCTTAGATTCTGAAGACTGGGTTGAGAGAGTTAAGAGTTAAATCAGAAATTCAGCAGACCATGAACAAGCCTTTGCATCTCTGTTCTATCTCTTTCCAGCCAGCTCCTTATGAGCTTGGAAGCACCTGTACAGAGGAGTGTAAGCTGCAGAGAGGTTCTGACCTGCATTGGTAACAGGCATTTCCTCATTCAGACTTCCCTATGCCACGGAAACCATGGGTCTGTGTCCAAAAAAAAATGCTCTATAAATGTGAGTCAGTGTTATTTAAAAGCAAGCCTCTCTTAATTCTAGGACCTTCCCTCTCTTTTTAAAAAATTAATTAATTTAGGGGCACCTAGGTGGCACAGTGGATAGAGCACCAGCCCTGGAGTCAGGAGGACCTGAGTTCAAATCTGGCCTCAGACCAAACACTTGACACTTACTGGCTGCGTGACTCTGGGCAAGTCACTTAACCCCAATTGCCTGAAAATAAAAAAAAATTTTTTTTAAATTAATTAATCTAATTTTAGTTTTCAACAATCACTTCCATAAACTTTTGAGTTTTAAATTTTCTCCCCCTCTCTTCCCAAGATGGTGTGCAATCTGATATATGCTGTATATACACATTCCTATTAAACATATTTTTACATTAGTCATGTTGTAAGGAAGAATTAGAAACAATAGTTCCAAATTGCTCTCCAAAATGGTTGGATCAGTTCACAACTCCACCAACAATGCAGACCTTCCCTCTCTTAATGGTTTCCCATTTATTGTATATATATATATAATATATATATATATATATTTATCTTGTTGGTACATATTGTCTCTCCCATTAGAATGTAAGCTCCTTGAGGGCAGGGACATTTATCTCTTTGTAGCCCCAGTGCTTAGCACAGTTCCTGGCACTTGCAGGTGCTTAATAAATAAAAGTTTATTGATTGACTGATTAAGATCCAGTTCAAGCCCCATCAGCCCTAAGAAGCTCTCCTTCATCATTCCATTCCATACTAAGCAACCCATCCTCTGAACCAACCCATATAGTACTAACTATTGAGAACTTAACTATATGCATCTCACACTATTCACATGTTTGTCCAATTAGACCACCAGGTTACTGATAGCAGGATTGGGTCTTATGCTTTCCCATCTACTCCAGAGAAGTTTTCTTTAATAATATTAGGTATTCTGGGGCAGCAAGGTGGCTCAGTGGATAGAGCTCTGGCCTTGGAGCCAGGAGGACCTAAGTTCAAATGTGGCCTCAGACACTTGACATTTACTAGCTGTGTGAACCTGGGCAAGTCACTTAACTCCGACTGCTTCACCAAAAAGGAAAAAACAAAACAAAAATAATATTATGTATTTTAATGCATTTAAATATGTATTTAATTTCATGTATTTATTTAATTAATTAATCAACTTAATATACCTATTTAAATGCATATATTTTGAGAAGGAGTCCCTAGGCTTCGCCAGACTTTCAAAGGGATCCACGGCACAAAAAAAGGTTAAGAATTCATATAGAGGGAAAAGAGCCCAGGAGAGAGCCTTGGGGGCACACTCAAAGTTAGTGGGAGTAACCTGGATGAAGATCCAGCAAAGGAGACTAAGAAGATGCCATCAGAAGGTAGGAGGAGTAGGGAAGGTCCATAGAATCAGAATGTCAAAGCTCCAAGAGACCTAGAGCCCAGAATGTCAGAGCTGAGTCCTTATAATATAGAACACAAAACATAACAGCTAAAAGAGTTTTCAGAATATAGAATGAGAAAATTAAAATGGACTTTAGGGATCATCTGATCCAGCCTCTTATTTTATGGGTGAGTGACAAAGAAAGCCTTTCCTAAGATCGCATATCAATTCGATGGAAAAGCCAGGACTGGAACCCAGGCCTCCTGACTCTCAACATTTCATGGCTGAGTGATGGATTAGCCACCCAAGAAAGACCAGAGACAGAGCAGCAAGAGAAACTCCTTCCTCCTCCCCATCCCAGCCCCAGGGACTCACATCCAGGGCCTTCTCAGTAGCATGCTCATTAGGACATCCTGGTCGGAGCCGCTCAAAAATCACGGTGTCTGCTCCCTTGGTATATAGCCGGACTGTGCCTTCAGGGTCTCTCACTGCAGGAGAAGAGAGCCCATGTGTCTTCAATGGGTCCCCAGGCAATAATGCAAGGAACCTGAGGAATTTTGGGTGTAGAAGGGTCCCCCAAGCTCCCTCAGAGCTGCAGTCAGCTGGCCAGACCTCTCCTCCCTGCCCTCTCCATCTCTTACATGACTGTTCCCAACCCTTACCCTGGGTATGGGGAGTGACATGTACCAGCAGCTTCAGCTGGGTAAGAAGTAGACAGTGGGTGCCCAAGCATTTCTTGAGCACAGAACTCCAGAGTCTCAGCATGGGAAGAGACATCCCAGGACAGCTGGTCCAATCTTTATCCTCTTTGACACCCCCACCAAACATGCTCAGAGATCTCCAGTGATGGGGGACTCAGTATCTCCCAAGCAACCCATTCTACATGGCAACAGCTTTAACTGTCAGGACATTTTTCCTAACAAGGAATCTCTATCTACATCTCTGTCTGCAACCATCCTCTCTCCCCTCAGTGCTGCCCACTGGGGCCAAGCAGAAAAAATCTAATTATTTTTCCACAGACCTGAGGATGGAGGAAGAGAAACAATCTTTTGACATCTATTGGCCTGGATTCTAATACCCTTCCCCACCCTCCAACATCTTGCTATGTGACCTGGGACAAGTCATTTCCCATCTCTGGGTCTCAGGATCCTCAATCTATCCAATCCCTGCTTGGCTCCTTCCCAGCAGAACCCCTCTGACACCTCCTCATTGAAAGGAAAAGATCCTGAACTCCTGAAGGCAATGTTAGCCAAATTCTAAAGGGTTCCAAACTGTGGACAGGCCCAGCAATGGGCTGGCACGGTAGAGAGAACACTGAAATTGGAGCCCGAGGAATTTGGTTCAAGTTCTACAAATCCCACTTGACTCTTACTTCCTACATGACCAAGGGCAAGTCCCTTAACCTCTCTATGCCTCAGTTTCTTCATCTGCAAAATGGGACTAGATGGTTTCTGAGGGTCTTAATCTATGATCCTATCAGTGGATGTCCAAGGAACACTTCCCAGCCACACATGGGGTATCAGAGACCTGATCAACAGGGGATGATTTTTTTCTAAGCCACTCATGAAGATTATAGTCTGGGACAGAGAGGAGGTGATAGTCTTCATTGATGGAAGAAAGAGTCATACTAATGAAATCACAGATAATACTGAAACTAATTTGGGAGTAAAAAAAAATTTTAAATACATTAAATTAATATTACAAATAATTAATAATTAAGTCATTATTAATGAAATAATTTAGTGTTATTAATAATTAACAACCATTTATTAATTTATTTAGTTAAAATAATTAATTAAATTTAATTAAATAATTATCAATACTAATAATTAAAATAATAAATTAATTAAATTAAGTTATTATGTTTTTAAAAACAGTGATACTAGTAAAAGGCAGCACACACAATCTTTGTCATGATTCCCAAGTTTTTTAGATAGCTATTTTTTACTTGGCTGGCTGGTTGTCGTCCTTCATTCACAAGGAGGCCCAAAATGACATCACTATATGTTGGAGTCAAGGTACAGCATGTCCAACTACGACCAATCAGCGCAATGCAAAATCAGGAGGAACAGGACTTTCAAAATGGCATAACATTGAGGAAAACACTAACTTGGCTTTATTATGGGGCTGACTTAATAGATCAACCCAGTGAAGCAAGAGGCAGGAAGCAGGTAGGTGGGAGTTTGGGTCCGGCCTCTGACAGAATGGAGCTGGGATCCTGGACCAGACACGCGAGCGTCCCTGACAGCTCTCCCAGACTCTCAATTACAGATGAGCTATCAATCTGGGTCAGTGGAGGGGGTTTCCATTCCCCCCACTAAAGGGAAACACTGTTCACTATATGTAAAAACACATAAACAGAGGTGAGGCAGAAAGATAAACCCAGGAATTCCCCCTCTGGTCTCTCTTCAGGCTGTCGGGGTAGGGGGGTGGTGGGAGGGAGCTCCCATGCTTACAGAGCACAGACATCCTCTTTCGGACACTGTTGAAGTCCAACATGGCCAGCACCTGGTAGGTCCTCTGTACACCAAGCTCACTGGTGGTGATGGTGTCCTGAGTCCGGGACAGAAAAACATAACCAAAGTTCCGAGCGGCTGTTACAAGAGCCTCTTCATCTGGAGAAGCTGCCTGGTAGACTAGCTGGCCTAAAGAGAGTAGACATAGACAAGGAAGAAGGAGAGTTAGAAAGAGATAGAGTGCTGGGACTGGAGTCAGGAAGCCTCATCTTCCTGAGTTCAAATCCAGCCTCAGATACTTAGCTGTGTGACCCTGGGCAAGTCACTTAACCTTATTTGCCTCAGTTCCTCATCTATAAAATGAACTGGAGAAGGAAATGACAAACCCCTCTAGTATCTCTACCAAGAAAACCCCAAATGGGGTCGCCCCCCCCAAAAAAATGTGGTCCTGATTGAAAAGACAGAACAAGTGTGCTAAGCATTATGCTAAATATAGGGATACAAAGAAAGACAAAAGACAATCTTTTCCCTCAGGAGCTCACAGTCAGACAACACAGAGAAAAGGGGGTTGATGAGGATGCTAAAAGGGATTGGGTAGGAGTTCCCCAAATGGGGGCACGATGGATTCCAGCAGCCTAGGTGGGGTAGGAGAGAAGGAAATAAGCATTTATTAAATGCCTATCATGTGCCAGTCACTTGCCCTCAAGGAGCTTACCATCTGATGGTGAAGACAGCACATTTAAAAAAAACAGACTGAAAAGCAGTGGAGGGAGGAGTAGCCCAAGTGAGAGCATGATGAATTCCTGTAGCCTGGGTGGGACAGGAAAGAAAGAAACAAATATTTATTAAGCACCTACTGTGTGCCAGGCAATGTGCTAAGTGCTTTACATAACTTCTCTCATTTGACCCTCACAGCCCTGGGAGGTAAGGGCTCTTATTAGCCCCATTTTATAGTTGAGGAAACTGAGGCACACAGAGCTTAAGTGACTTGCCCAGGGGCACATAGCTAGTAAGAGTCTGAAATTGAATTTGAACTCAGTCTTCCTGACTCCAGTCCCAGCGAATCTACTGCATCACCAGCTGCCCTTAGACAGAACTTGAACTCAGTTCACTGCTCTTTCCACAATACTGGACTCCTTTTCCTGAGCCATCTGTAAAGTAAAGGCAGCGGCCCTACAGACCCTGGGCCCTTCCAGAACAAGGATCTTGGTTGCTTAACAGCCCCTGTTGCTCCAGAGCTTTTCCACGACAGCAGAAACTCAAGTTCTGGTGTGTGTTGATAGAGAGGCCACTTCAGCCTTAGGCATGTGCCTCCCAGAGAGGCTTTGAAACAGGAAGGAAGAACAGTATGTCCTAAGAGGTCCTGTGCCAACCTTAAGGGCTCAGCTGACAGCTTGCCACAGGGCAGGGGGCAAAGCCACTCTGGCCTGGGCAGGCCCCAGGTTCATCTGGGTGCTGGTGTGAGGCCCATAGAATTCCAGAGCCTGGATCCTGGTAGCAGCCGGGTGAAACCACTACCACTATTGAGAGCTACTGCTGAAAGCACGGGATTTAGAGTTAGGCAGCCCAAGGTTCAAATCCTGCCTCCAACTCTCTAGCTTTGTAACCATAGCCAAGTCATTTTATCTCTGTGTGTCTGTTTCCTCATTTGTAAAATGAGGATAATAACATCCCTACCACCCATCTCACCAATTCTTGGCGAGGCACAGAGGAGGTTAAGGATACAAAGGGCTTTGCAGACCTGAAAGTGCTACATTAGCACCAGCTATTACAATCAATACATTTGTGACTCATTGTATGCTACCTGGTAGAGTTGACAGTTATTAAGTAACACTATGCCAGGCACTGTTCCAGGGGTTCTGGAAACAAAGACAGAAATCCAATAGTCCTGGGTCTCGGGGTACTTACATTCTAATATGGAGACAGAGAGAGCACAGATACAACTAGGGGACTCAGGAAAGGCTTTCCAACAAACATTAATTATATAAGCTAAGGGCCCTCTTTCATCTGGGTTCCACATTCTAAAAGTCCTTCCAGTTCTCATACTTGATATTCTAAGCTCTGATATCCTGTATTCTAAGGGCCCTCCCAGTGTTGACATTCTGTGTTCTAAAGGCCTTCCCACTGCTCACATCCTGTGTTCTAAGGGCCCTCCCAGCTCTGACATCCTGTGTTCTAAGGACCCTCTCAGTGCTGACATTCTGTGTTCCAAGGGCCCTCCCAGTGCTGACATTCTGTGTTCCAAGGGCCCTCCCAGTACTGACATTCTGTGTTTTAAAGGCCCTCCCAGCACTGACATCCTGTGTTCTAAAAGCCCTCCCTGCTCTGACTTCCTGTGTTCTAAGGGCCCTTCCAGCTCTGACATTCTGTATTATAATGGCCTTCTCATTGCTGACATCCTGTGCTCTAAGCACCCTCCCAGCTCTGACATTCTTTGTTCTAAGGGCCCTCCCAGCTCTGACATTCTTTGTTCTAAGGGCCTTCCCAGCTCTGACACTCTGTTTTCCAAGGGCTCTCCCAGCTCTGACATTCTGTGTTCTAAATGTCCTCCTTACAGTGAGGTTCTACACTTCAAGGACTCTCCCAGTTCCACTGAAACTAGATCCCTGCTACTAATTATCTGTGTGACTTTGGGCAAGTGACTTGACTTTTCTGGGCCTCAGTTTCCTCGTGCTTAAAAAGAAGAGGCTGGACTCCACTGCTTTTCAGAGTCCTTCCTGCTCCAGACTGATGATCTGTGCAGTTCCACATTCTAAGGCACTCACTCCCTTCCTTCTCAAGCAAATGAGTTCACTGCCTTGTCAAATGAGATATTTGTAAACTGATTAGTAAATGCTTATTCCCTGCTCCCTTTATCCCTTGGGCCTCAACAGTGCCTGGGCCTGGGGAAGGCTTCCTACTCTCTGACCTTTCCAACGATCTGGTAAATATCTCACTAATGTCCATCCCTGAGCCTGTCTCAACCTAATGGGTCATTGAATTAATGGCTACTTTGAGTGAATAAATGTGTAAGGCATTAATTACGTACTTACTGTATGCATGCCATTGGGGATGCAAAAACAAGTGTTTTCTTCGTTTAGGTCATAGGACCATAGACTAGAGCTGGAAGGGACTCTAGCAGTCAGCTAGTACATCATTTGACAGAGAAGGAAACAGAGGCTGAGAGATGAGGCTTGTCCAGGATCACATGAGGAAGTATCTTAGATAGAGTTCAAACCTGGGTATCTCTGACTACAAGCACTTCAAATAGGATACACTAAGGTTTGCAAAGTGATTAAAAGCATGCCTTCCCACATCTTTTCAAGGGTTCTCAATGAAATAAAACAGAAACAAAGCCACTTCCCTGTGTTTCTGAGTGAAACAAGGTTTCAACAATCTCACTTCCCCCATTTCTTTAAAGGTACCTGCTAATAGCAGCTGCCCTTCCCCCACACTGATCAGTCCCTGGGCCTGGGCACCTCTCACCATCCTTCTCCTCCACCATGACAGTATGGCACAGGGCCAGCAGCCGCCAGAACTCTCGGACCACCTTGTCCTCATCCTCCCGGATGGCTATTAGGAGTGAGGGATCATAGAACACCAACTTCCCATCTGCATACTTGTTCCAACTCAAAGAGACAGCCTGTGGGTGAAACAGGGATGGGGAATGAGGAAATGGGGGAGAGAGATGGAGATGGAGATGGAGACAGACAGAGACAAACAGAGAGAGGGAGGGAGGAAGGGAGAGAGAAAGAGGGAGAGAGACAGAGAAAGACAGGGAAAGGAGGGAGAAGGAGGGGGAGAGAGAGAGAGAGAGAGAGAGCCCAACAGACTTTCTGGGAGACCAGAGATTCAATGTGGTAAAGTGGAAAAAACCTTACGTTCTAAGGGCCCTCCTAGCTCTGACATTCCCTGCTCTCTATTCTAAGGGTCCTTGCAGTTCCAACATTCCCTGTTCTTCTCTATTCTAAGGATGCTCCCAGTTCCAACCTTCCATGTTCTTTTTTCTAAGGGCCCTCTCGGCTCTGACATTCCCTGTTCTAAGGGCCCTCCCAGCCTGACATCCTGTGTTCTAAAGGCCCTCCTCAATCTAAAATTCTACCTTGATTGTCATCCAAGATCTGCTCCAGAATTAACAAGACAAGTTGCTTAATGTTCACCCATCTATAAAATGCTGGGGTTGCCCTGTTTTAAAGGATCATTAGACCACGTTTGGGAAGAACTTGAGGTAGTTTTAGCCCAACTACTTAATTTTCCAGAGGAGGAATCTGAGGTCCAGAAAGGCTAAGCGAATTGCCCAGCTAGGTCACCCAGCAAGTAAGAGGCCAAGTGGCATTTGAACCCAGGTCCTCCAGCCCTCAAGCCTGGTCTCTTTCCTAGGCACCTCGCTGAGTGCCCAGGATGTTTTTCTAGTCACAGAGTATTCAGGTGTCTAATAACTACCTGCTGAAGAGAACAGGCTGGGTAGGCAAGTTCTTTGGCAACACACCACATTCCTTTTATTTATTTTATTCTTTAACTCCCATAGCCAACAGTAAATTTGATAAGCCAAAGAGTCCAAGAGAAGGGGAGAAGATGCAGAAAAACAAGAAAACTTCACTCAAAAGGACCAACAGGGGTGGATCAGCCTGAATTAGAGAATATTTTTTAAAGGAAAATGTTTTCTGGTTTCAACACAAGACTCATTTGCCATTAGCCGCATCTAGCCACAAAGGACAACTGATGCCATCTACCTGTTTGTTGACCAAAGGATGGGGAAGGTGAAGGAAATGAACATTGTTTTATATTGGAACAAGAACTCTCTAGCCCCCTGGTCCCACTAGACAATGCTCTGTCCCCCAGACATGCCTGGTGCTCACCCATTTCCATGCCCTCTCCTTCTATTTATGCTCTTCCTCATGATTCTTAAGGGACCCTTTCAGTTCTGAAACTTGGTGTTCTGTGTTCTAAAACAGGCCTGCACAACATACTGCCCACGGGCCACTTTGTCAAGCGGCAAACAGCCCCAGGGCCTATGTTGTGCAGGCCTGTTCTAAAGACTCTTCTAGATCTCCCAACCTTTGTTTTAGGTCCTGAGGTCTTTCCGGTATCCTTCTGCTATCCTGTGTTCTAAGGTCAATCCCAATTCTGACATTCTGTATTCTAAGGGTCCTCCCAACTCTGACATCCTATGTTCTAAGGACCCTCCCAACTCTGCCATTCTCAGATGCTATGGCTGGACAAAAATCCCCCCACCTTGGTAATCCCACCCCCTATACAAAATCAGGGCCCCCTGGTTCTGGGCCCGGGCCAAGATCAGACTCACCTGCAAGCTCTCCCCACTATTTTCATCTGTACCTAGACAAGAAATACAGCTTCAGTTTTTACTTTCAAGGATGGGTCTTGGATCCCTTGGTTGGGAGACCCACCACCTCATTCCCTTTCTTAAAGGAGCTAAGCAGGTGATAAAGGGAAAACCAAACTTTAGCAGGACAGGAGGAGCTCTGAAGTCCCTTCCAAAGGAAGAGTCTAGCTCAGAACCGATCAGGATTAGATGCTGGGATCTGCCACTGACTCAATGTGTGACCTTGGGTAAGTCCCTAGTTCTCTCTGAGTCTCCATTTCCTTCTGCATGAAATTAGGGCTTGGCTTCAATCAAAGGCTCTTAATTGATTTTGTATTGGAGGCACCACAGTGAAGAGAGCACTGTGCCTAGAGTCAGGGAGACCTGAGTTCAACGTGGCCTCAGACGCTTAATAGCTATATGACCTTGGACAAGTCACTCATCTGCCATCAGCCTCAGTTTCCTCAACTGTGAAATGAAGATCATAACAGCACCTACCTCCCAGGGTAATTGTGAGGATCAAATGAGATACTTGTAAAGTGCTTAAGCACAGTACCTGACACACAGTAAGTGCTTCATAATAAATGGTTCTACCCTTCTGGGACCCCTTTGGCAGGCTTGCTGAAGCCTATGGACCTCTTCTCAGAATAATATTTTTTAAATGCATAAGATAAAATCCATGGACTACAAAGAAATCCAATTACATTGAAATAAAGATGTTTTTCTCCCATCTAAGTTCACAGATCTTTTGAAATCCATACACTGACCCTCAATTAAGGACCCCTGGCCTGCATGATCTTGACTGTCCCTTCTGGCTCTAAGATATTGATTTCCTAAGTCAATGTGGCAGAGTAAGGAATGTGGTTCAGTACAATAGACTTTAGGAATCAGGGGGTGCCCCAGATGTGCCACGGTGGGCAGGGAGTGGATAGGCCTCGTGTGGGGAGGTAAAGGTAAGATATCTGTGAAGGACTGGTGGAGTGGTCTGAGATCCAGTGATTCCTGCAAGACACACCTAGGATAGCTTTGCAAAGTCCTTTGCAGACACTATCTCATTTAAGCCTTACAAGAACCCTGGGAGGTAGGTCTATTATGAGGAAACTGAGGCTCAGAGAGGTCCCCCTGACTTGCCTGTAGTCACACAGTGGAAGTGGGATTTGATCCCAGGCCTCTCCTGACTCCAGGCTGAATCCTTTCCCCACTTCCCCAGGCCTCCTCTCTAATATTACTGATAGCTAGCATTTACATAGGGCTTACAGGTTTGCAGAGCCCTTTCCATATAGCACCTCATTTGATCCTCACAACAAACCTGGGAGTCAAATGCTGTTATTATCCTCATTTTACAGATGAGGAAAGTGAGGCAGGAGGAGGTGAAGGGATTTGCCCAAGGTCACACAATTAGCCAATGACTGAGACAGGATTCAAATACAGGTATTCTTGAATTCAGGTCCTATAAGAGAGCTGTCTGACTGCCTCTAGGGGTAGGGTTTAAGGTTCCTGGTGGAGCCTGGGCAACAAAGTTTATCCTGGAGGGTCTGGGCAGGGCACGCAACAGAGTCTGGGATGGAAGATTAGAATGGAAAGGAGGCCTAACTCAGGTTGGGGGAAGGGGGAGAGGAAGTGGTGTCCCTGTAGGGACAGAGGTCACTATTCACCATAAGTCAGCCCATTGATGCAGCATTTCTTGAAGGTCATAATGTTCTGGGTCAGGGTCCCTGTCTTGTCGGAGAAGATATACTCAATCTGTCCCAGCTGGTCATTGAGGCTGGTACTCCGGGCCTTTGCCGGCATGTCCAGGGGCGAGTAGTACATCTCCAGGTCCCAGTTGATGAAGCAGCTATTCACCAGATAGATAAACTCAAAACTGCAAAGGAGTGAGACAAGGCACAGCTACTGAAAGCCTGAGAAGGGACTAAAGTCCGATGGTCCAGCCCAGGCCCCTGCCCAGAGCCATGCCTGGGAAAGGAAAAATTGGAGGCATTCCCCCAAACCACATCTTGGAAGAATAATTATAATTAATATTGTTATAAATGATTAGTTTTTTTCATTGATATAGCATTTCAAGTTTTATAAAGTACTTTTCTCACAACAAAACAGTGAGGCAGACAATAACAATTATTAGCCACAATAACCACATTTATATAGTACTCTGAAGCTTGCAAAAATACTTCAGATCCACACTGCTATTCACAAAGATATCAATACAAGAACCAGAACTCGAGTTTTCTGATTCCAAGCTCGGTGTTCTTACCCCTCCACCACACTGCTCTTGTGCCCTGATGGGACAGGGCAGAAGCACAGAGGCATCCAATGGGAGAGAAAGAGGAGACACCCAATATGCATGGGCACTCTCAGAACTAGAGGCCAGATGGTATAGAGGATAGGCCGGGTCTTCCTCTGATGTATCTGCCCAGGGCCACTTGACGTCACCAACCAATCACTATCCATGATGGAAGCTTCCATACCCGGAGTTCTCTACATTGATGAAACCATGGGCCCATAACAGCCTCCCCACCAAAAAATTTTTTTAATTAGTTAATCAATTTTAAAATTTATTTGAGAAAGCAACCACCAATTGAGAAAGGAAGCAGTACGACACCCATTATATCCTACCAAAAAATTATTAGAACATTAAACAGGCTTGTTCAAATAATTATTTTGGGTCTGGAGATCAAGGAAACCTGAGTTTAAATCAGGCTTCAGACACTTATTAGCTATGAGACCCTAAGCAAATCACGAAAAAAAAAAATCACTGTTTGTCTCAGTTTCCTCAACTGTAAAATGGGGATAATTATAGCACCTACCTCCCAGGTTGTTGTGAGGATAAAATGAAATAATATTTGTAAAGTGGTTAGCACAGCACATGGCATATAGCAGGCCTTGTGTAAATGTTGTTGTTTTTTGCAATGTTATTATTATAACATCAGTATAAAGGATAACATTAGAATATATAATATAATATAAAATATTATTATAAAAATGTTGTTGTTGTAAAGCCTTATAGATGAATAAGGCACTGGGCCTGAAGTCAGGAAGACCTGAGTTCAAATTCAGTCTCAGACACTTACAAGCTGTGTGATCCTGGGCAAGTTACTTAACCTAGGTCAACCTCAGTTTCCTCAACTATAAAACTGAAGCAATACAAGTTATGCCTCCCAGGGGTGTTGTGAAGATATAATAATAATGATGATGAAATGGTTATTATTATTAAAGCATTTATATAGCAGCTACTATGTGCCAGGCACTGGGCTAAGTTTTCCTGTCACGTTGTAGAGGGAAAACCAAGGGCCCAAGAATCAGGAGACCTGGAGACTAATCCTAGCCCAGTTCATTTCACTTCAAAAACATTCCTTCATGATGGATCAAGAGGCCAAGTGGAGAAGGAAGATCATTCCAGATGGAGGGGACAACCTGTACAAAGGTTCAGGGGTGGCAAAGGGCGTGTTGAGGTCAAGGGCAGTTTGGCTGGAGTATAGAGTAAATGAAAAGGAGTAATAAGTTTGGAAAAATAAGTGGGAGCCAGATGATGGAGGGTTTGAAATGTCGGATTAAGCAGACTACATTTTATTCTAGCAGCAGAAGGGATACACTGAAGATTTCTGAGCAAGAAGTGACATGTTCTAACCTACTAACTAACTGTGTGACTTTGGGTAAGTCATTATCCCACTGTGGACTTTGAATTAAGAGAGTGGACTACATGACTTCTAAGGCCTTCTATTTCTAAAGTCATTCTATGTCTAATAACTCTCTCAGGGCTAACACTATATTCTAAAGTCCTTCTGTCTTTGATATTCCATGTTCTAAGATCCCTTCCAGCCCAGAAATTTTATGTCCTAAGGCTCTCTCAGCTCCGATATTCTTACTATATACTAAGGTTCCTTTTAAATGTAACATTCACTGTTCTAAGGTCTCTCCCAGCTCTGACATTCTGTGTTCTAAGGTGCCCCTCAGCTCTGACATGCTGTGTTCTAAGGGCCCTCCCAACTGTGACATGCTATGTTCTAAGAGCCCTCCCAGCTCTGACATCCTGTGCTCTAAGAGCCCTCCCAGCTCTGACATCCTCTGATCTTCAAGTCAAGTCTGGATGGTCAGTTCCTGAGCTATGGTACAGGGAAGTCCTGTGCAGACACAGGTCAGACTGACTTCTGAAGACCTCTCCCAAGCTGAGATTGTATGCTCTCACTAGTTTCATCCTCCCTGAGCCTCAGCTTCCTCACTTGCCCACATCCCACCCTCCCAGGCCTCTACTGCCTCTCCCATTGGCTTACGTGATGTAGAGGGACATTGGCACAATGATACTGAGCAGGATCATGAAGCTCCAGAAGGTAAGGAAGGCCTCCCGAGCTGGGGATGAACTGCTGTGGAAGGCAGCCAGGTATCGGTGCTTGGTCTGTAAATCCACCACCAGGAAGCCAAAGGCCACGGCCAGGCAAAAAGAGAGCACCACCAAAATCAGGAATATCTGTGGAGGGAGGCAGCAGGGGTCAGGATGGCCAGAGAAGGAAGTGGGGGGGTATGCTACAGGTGCTCTAGAAGGAGAGGGTGGTCCCAGGTGTTCTAGAATGGGAGGGGGAGCCATGAGTGTTCTAGAAGGGAAAGGGGGGGCACAGGTGTTCTGGAAGGGGAGCGGGAGTCACAGTTGCTCTAGAAGGGGAGGGGGAGCTACAGGTGCTCTAGAAGAAAGGCCACAAGAGTTCTAGAAGCAGGCCATTGGTATTTTTGAAGGGAGAGGTGTTGGTGTTCTAAGAGAAGACTTGCAGGTATTCTAGAAAGGAGAGCCATGGGTATTCTAGAAGATGCGACAGCTTTCCAAGAATGGTAAGTCACATGCATCCTACACAGCTTAGAGAAGCCCAAAGATGATCCAGAAAGGAGACCCATAGGTATCTTATAAGAGGAGCCACCGGAGGGGCAGCTAAGTGGCGCAGTGGATAGAGCTCCAGCCTTGGAGTCAGGAAGATCTGAGTTCAAATATGGCCTCTGACACTTGACACTTACTATCTGTGTGACCCTGGGCAAGTCACTTAACCCTGACTGCCTCACTAAAAAGGAAAAAAAAAAAAGAGGAGGAGCCACAGGCAATTCTAGATAGTCTGGAGGACCTTACAAGATGTTCTAGAAGGTGTATGTTCTAGAGTTGTTCTGAAGGGGATCCCCAGTGTTCTAGATAGCTTGGGGGAGAGGAATGAGAAAAGTCCAAGGGTCTGTCCCAGGACCCCAGGAATAGCCACCATCACAGCTGGCATGTCCATAGCACATCAGGGTTTACAAGGTGGTCTCAAGTTCAAGTAACTGAAGTCTTCTTTGGTGCACCCTGACTAAGCCCCCTCCTTCCTTGGAAGGCCTGGTTAACTGGTTCTCCTTGCCTGCCTAAGCCCCAGACTGACACAGTCTCTATGCTTGAGGTCTTGATCCCTGGTGTCAGACCTCCCCAACCCTGACAAGCTGTTTGAAGAACCCCCAGGATCCCAGAATATCAGAAAAGAAGGAAGGAGGAGGAAGAGGAAAAAAAAGAAGGAGGAGGAGGAGGAAGAAGAAGAATGTATTTTTAAAGTATGTTAAGGTTTTCAAAACATTAGCTATACATATATTATCTCATTTGATCCTTACAACAACCCTGGCAAGTAAATGATATTATTATGCTCATTTTACAGATGAGAAAACTGAGGCTGAGAGAGATTAAACTACCTGCTCAGGTTCAAACAACCAGCAAGTGGCTGGGGCTGGATCTGAGCTTGTCTTACTGACTCCAAGCCCAAAACTCTATCCACTGTTCCCCAGGCTGACCGTATCATGAGCTAGACGAGTTTTTTGAGGCCACGCGTAGTCCAACCTCATCATTTTACAAAGGAGGAAAGTGAGCCCCAGGGAGATGAAGAAGTGACTTTAGCCCTAGAGAGATTTGAACTCTTATCCTCTGATCCTAGAACCAGGGTTCTTTTCCCTATACTGGAATTCCCTCTACAACCCCTGACCCCGTCACCTGTGTAACTTTAGGCAAAATCACTTCTAGCTCTCTAGGCTTCAGTTTCCTCATTTGAGGAAGTGGGATTCTAGACCTCAGAATCTCACCAGAACCTACAGCCTCTGCTTGGAGAAATATCTGATGAGGGGGAACAACTATTTTTTTTTAGTCAGATTACATAGCTCTAAGTGTCTAGACCTGTTTATTGATCCAGGGAACTCCCAGTAAAGAAACTCCCTCTACCAATACATGGCACCTTGGAGAGCTGCCAGAGACACTAGGAGGCTGGGTTGAGCCCAGAGTCCCACAGCCAGGACGGAGACTTGAGCCTGGGCCTTCCAGAATCAGAGGATGCCTCCTAAGTCTTTCCTTCCTTGAGCCTAAAATTCCACAGCTTCCACCCAATGCTCCTGGTTCCGCCCCGGCACAAGAATAACAAGGCAAATCCCTCTTCTACACGAGTAGTGACGATGTCTACCCTAACTTCTCCCTTCTTCAAACTAATCGACCCTCTTTTGGCATGGTGTCTAGTCTCCTCCCTAGCTAGAGACCACATGGTAATCACTCTTCTCTGCATACTCTAGCTTCTCAAAGTCTTTCCTAAAATGCGTCACCCAAAATGGAACACAATAAGACAGTAAGACCAGCATCTCCTTCAGTCTGGACACTACATTTCTTTTAATACAGCCCAAGGCCACATTGGCTTTTTAGCAGCTAGGTCTATGGAGTCAGAGCAAGCTTGCAGTCCACTAAAACCCCCAGATCTTTTTCACCAAAAAACCCGTTGCCTAATGACACCTCCTCCTTGTGAGGAGGTTCCTTTCTGAACCCCAATGAAAGAATTTACCTTTTTCTTTATTTTATTTGATCAGATTTGGCCTGTTGTTCTAGCCTTTGGGCAGCCAGACTGTCATCCAATATTATTAGCTGGCCTTCTATCAGCTACAAATTTGAGAAATATGCAATCCAACTCTTTATCCAAGTCATTGGATGTTGGACAGTCCAACGCCAAGGACAGATCTCTGGGGCATTCCCCAAAAGACACTTCCTCCAGAGTTTATATTGACCCTTATTGCCTATCTTTGGGTCTTGTCATTTGAAAAGCTCCAAATTCACTTCATTCTACTGTTACCTTTAGTAAATGGTTAAACAAATAATTAACTATTATCTTACATTATCTTCACTTAACTCTACTAAGATTTAGCCCACATTCTTTTAACTGCAATTCAAGAAATATTTTTAAGCACCTAGTAATTACAAAGCACTGTGCTTGGCCCCAAGGGGGACAGACAAGAAATAGTGCTTTCCCTGAGAGAGCTGGAGCACCAGATCTCCTTTCACCCACAAAGTAGCATGAGACTCTTGGCCAAATGTTTTGTTAAAGTCCTAGCACAGCATTCCCCTGAGCCATATCCCCAGGCTGTGAGATCAAATTGTATCTATTATATCTTATTTGAATCACAGGCCCCACTGAATTTCCTTCAGAGTTTCCATTTTGGTAAGAAAGTACCTAGGTAGGAGAGCTCTGGGTGACTTATAAGCCTACATTCTCAGCCCCCTCAATGTGCCTGCCACCTGGCTGCCCCAATGCCAAGCTCTGCCCCACACACACCCTGCTGAGCCTGCCTGATACTAAATCTCTGCTTATTTGGATGCCCACTTACTTCCTATTTTCAGACAGCCCCAATGCTCCGCCCATCTGCCTAGACTTCCTCCTGTTCTCCAAGGCTGTGACTCTGACCAGATCACCTTACCCCACCCCATTGGGTCTGTCTGGTCCCTAATCCCAATCACCTCTAGTGCCAAGGCCAGCAGGGCAGGGGTCACCAAGTCAAGTCCCCAAGAAATATGAGGGCCACCCTGGGAGGATGGGGGAGGGGGTGGACTTCGAAGGAGACAAAGGAACAAGAATTGTAGTGCACAATCATACTGGAAGGGGCCTTAGAAATCATCTTATCCCACCTCCTCATTTTGCAAATGTGGAAATGCAAAGGGGAAATTACTTGCTCAAGGTCACATGGCAAGTCAGTAGCAGAACAGGGAACTAGAACCCATCTCTTCAGGGGCTCTTCCTACCGCCTCTGAGACTCCTCAAAGGACCAGGGAGGAGAGTGGGCGGGGGGGGCGGTAAGGGAAGGATGGCCAGGTCAGCCAGCTAACACCACTCACAATAATGACAAGTTTGTTCATCAGCAGGTCCAGCTTCGTCCTCTTCAGCTTAATTTTCCCACAGTTCTTCATAATCTTGGAATCAAAACCTGGTGGGAGGGTATGAGAAAGAGGGGCTCACCAGGAGCTGGCCACTGGGTTAATGCCATAGAATTATGGGATGTCAGAGCTTCGAAGGCCCTTAGGACCCAGGATGTCAGAGCTGGGAGGGCCCTTAGGACCCAGGATGTCAGAGCTGGGAGGGCCCTTAGAACACAGGAGGTCAGAACTGGGAGGGCCCTT